AAAAGGTTTCCTGATTGATTACGGACTGGCGTCTTGTGTCTTTTCGGGGAGCGGCTGCTGTGAGCTTACATGCACACACAGAAAACTACACAAATATCAAGAGGATAACACAATATTGAATTATTGTAATATTTTTAGAGCCTATACATACCCACTTCACATCAAAACTACAAAAACTTCGAAATTCCAAAACCATTTACTAACAGAATTCATTGTAATTTGAATGAAAGCTGAAGGGTTTTAAAAATATCTATCTTGTAAGGAAATGGTAGAAAGAATAGAGATAGCATTCAAATGCACAAGGATATATCTAGACTGAAGAGAAAAGGACTGTCTCTCTAAAAGATAAGGGTGGTTATTGTAAAAGTTTCCCCTGCCACATATATCCTTTCTATGCTCACAAAGCCAAATGCGTAAATCGCTCACAGAACATACTTCTATGATTGATAGATCAACTCTCAAAGTTATATTTCAAATTTAGACTGTCTGAACCACCGCATCAAACAATCTATCATAACTAAGATAGCTTACAATGGGCTTCTATATTTCATTTAATGGTTGTTAATAGTCTCCTTTGATATGCTGCCAGTTTGACTGATTTCTCTAAATCTCAGAGCATTCGAAGCCATTTCCTTTCATTTGGTTCTGATCAGAAAGTATATCATCTCGCAGAATTAATCATGCAGGTGCCAAAATGAACCATTCCCACATATAGCCTTTCTTAAAACATAGTCAAAATATTTTGTACAGCTGTGTATTACACTTCTTCACAGTATACACTCAAATGGTTTCTCTTACTCTTATGTGGATGTTGGATTATGACTCCAAGGTTTGGATCTCTGTTTAGCTATGGAAGCCCATTGGATGACCTTGGAGAAGTCACACTCTCTCAACCTCAGTGGAAGGCAATGTAAAACCTCTTCTGGACAAATATTGCCAAGAAACCACGGTGATAGGTTCGTCTTAGGGTCGCCATAGGTCGGAAATGACTTGAAGTCACATAACAACAACACACTTCTAAGGGTTAGGGCCCACACTGTCCCTATGTGGAACTTAAATGACCTGAGTAAAAGGTAAAGGTTTCCCCTGACATTAAGTCTAGTCGTGTCTGACTGGGGGGTGGTGCTCATCTCCATTTCTAAGCTGGCATTGTTCGTAGTCACCTCCAAGATCATGTGGCCAGCATGACTACATGGAGCGTTGTTACCTTCCTGCAGAAGCAGTACGTACTGATCTACTCACATTTGCATGTTTTTGAGCTCTGTTGGCAGAAGCTGGGCCTAATAGCAGGAACTCACCCCTCTCCCCGGATTCAAACCACCAACCTTTTGGTCAGCAAGTTCAGCAGCTCAGTGGTTTAACCCGCTGCAACACAAGGGGGCCCTAAAATGGTAACTAAGCTTGAAGATCAGCCGTGAGTCTGCAATTAGACGTTTTAATATACAGTAAAATGATTACAGAAGTGTACTTGATCTGATCAGTATCAGTATTTATAATTTATTATATTGTTTTTATTTTTCAGTGAATCGTTTATGTGTGACTACCAGTAACCAGACAGGCTTTTTATGTGACAACCGAGAGACCTGTATACCAGCCAGCCAAGTCTGTGACACAAGAAGACATTGTGCAAATGGGGAGGATGAGCAAGAGACACTATGTAGTAAGTGTCACAAAAACCTGGTTTTCAAGAGTTGTCTTTGCTTCATCGATTTCATTATTTCAAATAACTTTTTATCCTTTGGAATGTTTAGGCTTTCTTTCCAACATCTATATCTTTGTGAGGCTGCCTGTTAATATCATCAGAAAAATGTTTGGACGTTAGGGGATAATCATAAGACTTTCATGCACATCCCTGCTAAAATGATGTATTTTGTTGTATTTATTTTGGTAGGTGACTTACCCAACAACCTTCCAGGTTACTTAATATTTCATTGCAGCAATCCCCGATTTTGGATACCTGCAGACAAACGATGCAATGGGATCAATGATTGTGGAGACTGCTCTGATGAAGTAGGGACCTGTAAGTCTGTTCATCATAAAACTATATATCACTGACAGATGCTTATGATTTATGATAGGCTGAAAGGCTCTGAGTCCTAGTCTCCAGGGCAGCAGAAAAAAGCCTGCTCCCTCTTGCTTATGATATCCTTTCAAATATTTATACATGGCTATCATGTTTCCTCACAACCTACTTTTCTGCAGGCTAAACATACCCAAGTCTTTAAGACGCTTCTCATAGGTATTCGTGGTCTCCAGACCTTTGATCATTTTCGTTGCCCTCTGGACACCTTCCAGCTGGTCAATATCTCTTTTAAATTGCAGTACCCAGAATTGGACACAGAGTGATGCCAGGTGAGGTCTGACTTAGAATACAGTGTCCAATTGACTTGGGAATGAAACACTTCTAAAACGTTGAAATGTGTAGCCAGTAACTATATACCTTGCAGAAATATTTGTAGCACAAAGTAGCTATTATGGAGAGTTTAATATTTTTTATGGAACACCTAGAGTGCTTTTGCAAAACCCTAAGATTATGTGAAACACAGTTTGGGAAGCTCTTCCCTACAGTATTTTTGTATTCATTGGCAGTTTTTAATTGAAATACAAACTAGAGCTTACCTTGCTTAGCTTCCACGATCAGATATAGTCAGCAACCATTATTACAAAAGATGTCCTGACAAGGTTTAGCAAATAGCAATACACCGTCCAGCAGTCCGTTTGTCCACAGGAGTGTACCTAGGTACTGTCCACCTGCCTTGGGCATCCGGTTAAGAAGCAGCTTTAATTCTTTGCAAAGGAGACAAAGCAGCTGATCGGTACAAAAGCATATGCTGAGCTTCTTGTGCACGGGGCAATGGCATTGCACAAGGGGAACTGTATAATTCCCATACCCAACACCTACAAAGTGACCAATGCTTTAAGCCACCAACAGAATTCTAGCCATACTTCAGATTTGATAACTTTTTCCTGATTTTTTTAAATTGTCATGCTGCCAAATAAAGGAGGGACAGGCAGGTAATTCTGTAGTACAGTGTTTCTCAATTTTCCTAATGCTGCGACTCCTTACTATAGTTCCTCATGTTGTAGTGACCCCCAACCATAAAATTATTTTCGTTGCTACTTCACAACTCTCATTTTGCTACTGTTATGAATAGTGATGTAAATATCTGATATGCAGGAAATATTTTCATTCACTGGACCAAATTTGACACAAATAGCCGACACGCCCAAATTTGAATACTGGTGGGGTTGGGGGAGGGGATTGATTTTGTCATTTGGGAGTTGTAGTTGCTGGGATTTATAGTTAACCTACAATCAAAGAGCATTATGAACTCCACCAACAATGGAATTGAACCAAACTTGGCACACAGAAATCCCATAACCAACACAAAATATTGGAAGGGTTTGGTAGGCATTGACCTTGAGTTTTGAGAGTTGTAGTTCCCCTACATCCAGAGAGCACTGTGGACTCAAAGAACGATGGATCTGGACCAAACTTAGCACGAATACTCAATATGTCCAATTGTGAACACTGGTGGAGTTTGGGGGAAATAGACCCTGACATTTGGAAGTTGTTCTTGCCGGGATTTATAGTTCATCTACAATCAAAGAGTGATCTTAACCCCACCAACAAGAGAATTGGGTCAAACTTCCCATGAGAAACAGAAACTACTCTGTTTTCTGATGGTCTTTAGCAACCCCTCTGAGATCCTGTCGAACCCCCACAAAGGTCCCGACCCCCAGGTAGATAAACATTGCTGTAGTAGCTGAAGAGGCAACTAACCTACAGACTAAGGGGCACATACAACCCTCAGTCTTGCAAGAAATTGGGAAAATGGTGAATATCACAAATCTCCAAACTGGCTTGGTACTCCCCATTAATGTCATCTTTTCTAGTTCATTGTAGTATCCGTTTAGAATTGCACTAGCCAGTTTAGATGACCAGATGGAAAAGTAGGCAATAGTTTTTACACTTGTAATAATTGAAAAAAACAACAACATTTGAGCATGTGCTGCTTTTCATGTCAGGATTAGAAAATGGCACTTACCAGAGTTGCCTCTTGTATATATTTATGAAAGGTACTTCATCCTCTTCCCTTCTGACTCGGCCTTTGGCTTCAGGAAAAAACGAAATCATTGACATGTCTCTTGTTATAGGGGCCAGATGTCCTCCTTGTGGGTCTCAGTGGTGGAGCTGCACCATGGTCGTCTTTTACATGTATTGTAGCTGCATTCCCAGAAGCCTTTGTCGAGATGGCATACAGCACTGCTTTGACTGGTCTGATGAATATATCTGCACAAAGTGAGCAGCCAAGGACTGCAAACCTTCACAAGATAATGGGAGCAATTCATCAAGTACCGTCGTCGTGGAACCACCATTCATTTCAGAGGAGCTTTGCAGAGGATATTTTATGTAGTGTTACATATAGCGCTTCCAGATCAATGATTTGTCATTTCTTGATCTAAGGAAGGTATTTATAAACCTCAAAAGCATCAGCAAATAGACCAAATTTAGAATAAAAGGAATCTGGATTTGATTTTTATCCAACTTCAAGAGAGGACACAAATCAAGCAATAACTGACAAACTTGTAGCACAATTCTCTTGCTAAATGAAATAGCAGATACACTATCTGCACTTCTAATGTAAACCATGTGTTTGTGTTGGCCCACTTCAACTTGCCTGTCAACTTGTGGAGACACTATGAATTTCACTGGGTTTTTGTGGGGAAGGAATACTCAGATGTGGCTTTGCCAGTTTCTTCCTCTGAAATAAGGTGTACAGAACTCGGTATTCATTGGCAGTCTCCCACCCAAGTATTAACCAAGACCAACCCTGCTTAGCTTCAGAGTTCACAAAGTCTTTAATAGCATCTTATTCATACTCAACGTTATGAAATGACTGATGGCCTCCTGTGCCAATTGTTTGTTGAATCTACTTTCCACACTTTCATGTTTTTTTTTCTCCTTAGGCTGGATCAAGACTGTAATATAATCCAGTTTCAGAATGCAGATTAACTGCATTAAACTGTATTATATGGCAGTGTAGACTCATACAATCCAGTTCAACACAGTTAATCTGCATTCTGAAATTGGATTGTATTGCATTGTAGATCCAGCCTCAGGAAACAATTAACATAGTTCAAACCAGGTCAGTGCGCTTGGTAACTTCTTTTATCCTTGTATGCATTTTGGCAAAAGTTTCCCTTGCATTCAGAGATAAAATCTTGTTAATTGAAGTGGAAGGCAAAAAGAAACAAAGGCTAGAACAATATCTATCCAATAAAATGTTAAAAGACGTCAGTAATAATAGGTTGTTTTCTATCAGGTGTAGCTAAGATCTAGTCTTCTTAGGTAGAATAACTTTGTATGAGTTTCATACTTTTATGGAGAAGTCAATACGCATATTACGCAATGTAATCAGTACTTTAGAAATGGTACATCCAATAACCTGATCTCTTTAACAATATCCAGTTTCAGATTCCTTTCTGTCTGTAGTAAAGGGCCATTCAGTATAGATGATGTAATCAACAAGTATTGCAAGTACTCACCTAAGTAAGCCAAGCATCTTACATCACAGTATTTGACAAGTGATAAAAGCAGTCAAATATTAATGGTACATAGAAACTATGCCCATTGTTGTAGAATCACTATAACCAACGTTGTAATTAAATTGTGTGCTTGCATAATGATTTTTAGTATACTTCCTAACATGCGTTCCTTGGCAAATACAGGAAATGTCTGAGAAAATATTTGAGTCAGTTTTTAAATGCAGCACAAAAAAACCCTACAGTAGCTACACTTACTTAGGCGATCCCTCGCTTTCCGAGGATGATTGTCTTCCAATATTCTTGTGGGTCCGTATGTGGCTGTTTAAACAATATCTGAATATCTGATCCTGTGTGGTTATTTCAGGATAAGTGAAGTTCAGTTTTGTATACGATACTTTTAAGCATTTATATGCTTAAACAGGTTTTATGTCCCGAAGTTTCTTTGGTAAATTAATGTTCATCTTTTTGTTTACATTATAAAAATTATGATATACAAGTAGCTTGTGGGTGTGTTAATGCAATTATTAAATTTCATTCTTTATTAAGTTTTATCTTGTTTCTTTAGTTATAACATTAAGAACTAGGTTAACACAACATCTAGTGATAATTTTGAAAAATCACCATGAGAGATCCATCAGAAAGACTAATACGTAATATTCAAGTATCATTTCTCGGTGGAGGCTATTTACATGTACAGCTATGAATCCTATAGGTTAGTTATGTGATGGAAAAAAGTTGTATTAAAATGGAAAACTGTAGGGTTATTTTGCAAACTTTTATCTTGCATTAGTAATTAATTGAAATATATAATTTTTTTGACAGAGAAATGACTGACACTGCATTTTGATACCATTATCTCTTTTCAAGAAGACACAGTATAAATTTACTTTATTAGAATTTTCAGCAATATGGTTTTAAAAAGCGTTTCTTTGTAAAATACACAGTAGTTTTATAAACTGAATTCAGTAAGAATTTAGCAAGTCCAAGTCTTCGATTGAAAAGGTAAAATGCTTTGACTGAAAAGTCTGTTCTTTTTGTTCAAGTGTAACCCGCTTTTTATTCTGTAATTCTTCGTTCGTCTCAGTTTTTCCTTGCAGTCCAGAAATGTTTGCCATATCTGTGCTTTTCCTGTAGAACTGCAAATTCTCAGAAGTCTTGCTTTGCTTCTCTTCTAGAAATTCTTCTAGAGGTTCTTCTTTCTTGCGTCTTTTACCATCTGTAAAAGAGAGCGCATGAAATGCCCTCAGGGGGATAATCTTTTGATACAGCTTTATTTTGCTTAAGTCTTAGCTAGCAACATTAAAACAGGACTATTTTAAAATACAGCTGCAAAGATTCAGATATTTTAAACAACTGAATAATTCCTGTTGTGACTCAACTATTTCACTGAGTGATGAATATCATTTTCTTCCTATCAACAGCTACAGCCATGTTTTGTCACAAGACGTCTATTGCAGAAAAATCTGGAGATAGGCATGGAGAGGGCATGAGACAGAAATACTGTGGATTAGTTCATTTTCTTATCTGTATAGACTATAGACTAAAAATCATAATCCAGAAGCCATTCCATTCACATTGCCATTCACTTTTTAGCTGTATACAGCCCTGTGCTACTCTCCAAATACTTGCAAAGAGACCTGAACTAATCGCTTGTTCAGGACTTCTTTTGAAATAAAGCTAAAGAAAGATGGGTATCATGTATTTCTCTTTGATATGAATCATGTTGTGATGGAGGGAGGAGTTCTTTTCAACTTTGAGCACAATAACATTTTATAGGCTGATACAATTTAATGCAAAGTTCTGTGCCTCCAGCACACGCTTCAGAATTACAAAACATAAACTTCTGTGCTGTAATCATACATTGCACTGTTTTAGCCCTGTGCATTGTTTGGTTTGAAGTTATGTGTGTGTAACTCGCTAAACTCCCCAGCAATCTGTTATGAAGCAGTGAGAAATGAATGTTGGGTAATTTCAAAAAGGGAATTGCCTCTAAAAATGTAAAGCAGCACCAACTTCAGGCAGTTTTAGCAGATCAGAAACTTATTGAGAACAGCAGTAGAGCGAATGAGCTTCAGCAATTACCGAAGCAGAGTCAAGCTTTAGAAGTTATAAAAGACTGTATTAAAGGAACTACATTTCTATATAGGAAAGTAAGGGTCTATCTATTTAGCTCTCTGGAGACATCTTGTCTCTCCATGCTCACAAGAGAAGAACAAAAATGGAGGATTTAGAGACTTGCTATGTGGTTAAGAAACTGAATAAAAAGAAGCGTGTCCATGAGAAGTATGTCTAACCAGCAAGATGACAGGAGGAGAGAACAGAGTGACAGACACAGAGGTCAATGTGGGAAGGGCTTTTCCCTGCCAACTAACTCAAATGCCTATTTCCTTAATGAGAACTATAAATGTGTGCAGGATGTGGTTGAGTTCCAATAAGGAGCAGGGCAAAAAAATGTGGGATTCCATGCGGGAGAGCCCTTCGAAAATTTCTGGGAGTCACAAATTGTACACCTCTAATATTAAACTGGATGAAACCATCATATCCATCCAGTTCCAGTAAGTCCTGTTCTAATGAATCCTTACAGGTGTTGTTCAGACTTCAGGTGAAAATATAAAGAAGCTATTTAGGACTGTTTTCTTGATTTCCACCTTCTGAGTCTGGAAGTCAAATAACTATTCAGAAATGCCCTATATACTCGAGTATAAGCCGACCCAAATATAAGCCGAGGCACATAATTTTATCACAAAAACTGGGAAAAAATATTCACTCTAGTATAAGTCGAGTGTGGGAAATGTAGCAGCTACTGCTAAATTTCAAAATAAAAATAAATACCAATAAAATTACATTAATTGAGGCGTCAGCGGGTTGAAATGTTTTTGAATATTTACATAAAACTGTAACTGTCCAACTCAGGTTAAACCATTATTCTAACCTTCTTCAGTGTAAATGTGCTTACGTATCCTTCCAATAATAATAAAGAGTGTAAAATAATAAATTTAATAATAATAATAATAGATTAAAATAAAATGCAACAATGGCAGTAATAATAGATTAAATTGATAAATATAATAATGACAATAATAATAGAGTAAAATAATAAATGTAATAAAATAATAATAGAGTAAAATAATGTAAATGTAGTAATAATAAATGTAATAATAATAATAATATTAACAGTAAAATAATGAAAAGGGGGCTGAAAAACTTGGCTTATACTCGAGTATATACAGTAGGTTGCTTCTTCAGTTTTTGTAGCTGCTGTGTGTGTATCTGTTGTTCTTGATTCCAATTTATGCTTTAAAATAGGCTCAGAGAGCAAAACTACAGCCCTATTTTAATACACTCTCCAGAAACAGTTCAAATGGTTTTGGCTTAGGAAGTAAATATCTTTATTCAAATTACTTACAGAAACGTTGAATTGATGTTCTAGATTTCATTTTTTCTTTTGCTTTAATTGACTCTAAGATTGCATGCTGCCATTGCAAGACAGTCTGGAAAAATTAAGTAAGGAGATGTTTTAACAGTCAAATTTATTCAAAAAGCTCAAAGAAAAGACACTAAAGGTCAGCATGCCCTATTTAATATTAATATTAAACCAACATTTTAAAGTGATGGATTTAAATGTTATATATACCTTCTTTATACAGCAAAACAAGGCATTGGGAACAAATGCCCTTGCCAAGTACAATTTCAAGTTTGCTTAACAATAGTAAAGATAACGTATTCTGTTGTCGTTGATCTCATTTTAAGGTAACATTTTGTAAAAGAGTGAATGCCATAATAATAATAATAATAATAATAATAATAATAATAATAATAATAATAATAATAATAAACTAATACCATATTCTTCATGACTCTATATTCAATCTGAATGTTTAAAGCATTATAAATCCCTTCGGAGGCAAACACAGGAAGCACAACTATATGAAGACAGTAAGTGGGTCTTTATAAGGTTAATCGATACATACCTGCTCAGCCCAACCTTCTGTTTTGCAGCTGTTATGATCAAATTCTTTCAAATGCTCTTCAGAATGAACCAGACCTATTTTTGTCTGGATCTGCGAAATGGTTGTCTTTGAGCACTAATGAAAAGGAGAAACCAAAATAGGTTGTGTAGCCCACCAAGGTCTGATTTTTATGCCAACACAGCATTTCTGACTTTTATATTTTTCTTTTAGAAACCCAATATATATATAAATAATGTATTTTCACTTCTGTACTTTAAATGCAACATTCAGATGTTTAGCAGAAACTTTTTTTCACCTTTAGTCCAGTCCCAGAGAGATCCAAATAGTCCAGCTTTTTGAAAGAAAGCAGGTATCCAATTCCCATATGGGTGATTCCTGGATTATCTATACAAAAAAAACAAAAAATGATAACATGTACACAATGGTCAACATACATACTTATGGAATAGCACAAAGGGGATCAATAGGACCCATGACTGAAAACTGTTCTATCACACTGACAAAAAATCTAATGGTAGCAGATTAACAAAGACGCTCCTGAGTTGATCTCTCTAGTACAGGCCTGCACAACCTGTGGCCCCCCAGGTGTTTGGGCCTCTAACTCCCAAAAGACCTAGTCAGCTTGTCCAGTAGTCAGGAATCCTGGAGCTGAAATCCAAAACACCTGGAGGGCCACAGAGTGTACAGGCCTGCTCTAGTAATTTGAAGGTTTAAATAAATGTACTGATTTGTAGCTTCTTCACTCCTCCCACTTCTTGAATACAACTAGTGGTAGTTATAAGACAGCCAGCAAGACTCCATCTTCTTCTCATGGACAATTAATGGTTCTCCAGATGTTCTTGGACTGGGGACAGGAGAGTATGCAAGCTAAGATTTCTTGTATTTTACTCACTCTACACTGTAGTTAAGTAATATATGAACAATATATGGATTTATGTTCAAATGAACAATACAAGATTGTTCGGTTACATGATATAACAGAATGAGTTCTTGTGTTAGCTATACTGTATGTGCTGTCACTCAGCTAATGGCTACTCATTCATCTTTCTTTCTCTCTGTGGTAGCAGACACCTAAATCATTCTGAGTTTTTTTTAACTGACTAGGATTAACATTAGATTAAGAAGTATATCTAGACTTTAAACTGAAGCCATACTTACAAGACAAATCTAGAACTGTGAGATTTTCAAGACCTCTTTTCATAATCCGAACAGGTGCAGTCATTTTGCGAAGACCAGCATCTGATAAGCAATTATCTTTCAGGAGAAGGCGAACTAGGCTAAGGTAAACAATAGAAATGTTTCACACAGAAATCTAGGATGTTCTTGTTGTTAACTATCATCAACTCAATTTCAACTTACAGCAACAGTATTACAGTATCACAACTACGGTTGGTGGGGACGAGAGAGAGGGCCTTCTCGGTGGTGGCCCCCGCCTCTGGAATGCCCTTCCAAGAGAAATAAGACAGGCCCCATCCCTCCCCTCCTTTCATAAGAGCTTGAAGACCTGGTGGTTTCAACAAGCCTTTGAGAATGATCAGTTCTAGCCCAGCCCCAAACATTTTGAATATGGCCTTATACTTCCTACCTATTACCCCAGTCATCCCTCTAATAGGCCCTGGAAATGAGCAGCCACAGACCTGTACCTGTTATTGACATTAGCTTGTTATAGCACTGTACTTAATTCCCGGCCCCTCATTTTTTGAGTTTGCACTAGCCTTGACCCGGCTTTTTAATTGCTCTAAATAGGCAAGATTATTTTTAATGTACATGTGTTGTTGTGATAATTTTATGCTTATGTTGTTTTGTGAATTTTATGTTATGCTGTTTACTTTGCATGTTTCGGTGATGTTACTTGGGAACTGCCCTGAGTCCCCCTCGGGGAGATAGAGCGGTATATAAATAAAGTTTTATTATTATTATATTATTATTAATGAGACACTACCAGGTCATCCTATTATCAACAGCTCTGGTTTTGCAAACTGAAGGTTGTGGTTTCCTTGACTGAGTCTATGCTTGTTAAAGACAACTTCTTCCTAGTAGCTATCCAGTACCAAATATTTCACATTTCCTTTTCCAGTTTCGCAAGAGTTCAAAGACTTATTAACTGCTGCCCAATTTACCAGTTCTAAGAATGCTTACATGGAACTAAAGAAGGAAATTGGCATTCATAAAATATGCTGCAACACTGTCAGATTAATCTGAATTAAGCCTGTATATAATACATAAAATATTATTTATTATATATTTTTAAAAGAATTCAGAAACGCCACATGGCAGGTATAATTTTTTTTGGCAATAGTAGGAATATTGATCCAATTAAGTGGTTGTACAGGACTCAAAGACATTACTAGTTAGGGAGCACTTCATATTGGCAGTATAACCAATGTGTATGATATTTAGATACATAAATTCCAACCCAACTTTAACTTGAATCAATTACTTAGACAAAATCACTTAAATGACTGTTAGGAATTATGGGAGTTGGAGTCCAAAACATCTGGAGGGCCAAAGTTTGCTTATGCCTACTATAAAGTGTTTAAACAAACAAACAGAACAGGTTTTGTCTGCAAAACATAACCTGGCCAGCATTTTCAGTATTAACTCTTACAATGCAGGTAAATCCAATGCTCAGGAATACTATTTGGAAAAAAAAGAATTGTAGAAATAATCAAGTCAGCTGTGCAATGTACAATGAATGTATAAAGCTTTATAAAAATCAAATATGGTACATTTTAAGGTTGAAATAATTTGAGCCCCCCCCCCCACACACACACTTTTTTCTTTAGTTATCAGTCAACACAAGGGGAATGTTGACTATCACTTGCCCCCAGTAAACTGGTACCTGGATAGTGTTGCATTTGTGATATGCTCTAAGAGATCATGATCATCTCCAAGTTTACAACAGGACAAATCCAAACAAACAAGATCCTGGAAGGATTTAATTTCTTCAACTTTTTCAGAAATAACTAGATAGCTGTAAGGAGTAAAAACAAAAGTTAAGTGTCTCCTTGCTCAATAGCTTTTGTTCTTGTAAGTTTAAAGTCAATATTAAACATAAAAATTGTAGTTAAGTCTTAGTAGTTGGTTCATTTTAAATATATTGGACAAAACAAAAAATAATCTGTTGAATTCCTTGATGCGTTTATTCTTTTTCTGGGTTGACTCAAAATTGCTACATAATCAGTAAAAAGATCATGTTTGGGAAACAATAACTGTTTTAAAGCCAACCTCAAATAAGTTTGACAAAGAGCCAGATTAAACCATTCAGTACATCCTATTTATTTTGTCCCATTTTAAATTAGCTCCAAGCAACACTTGTTCCTATTTGCCGCTTTTTCAATTAACAATTGGATTAAGTTTCAAAAATGCTACTACATGTAAATTATGCAATCTTACCTCTTTTTCAAGCATAGCGATCGAAGTACTAAACTTCCATAAACCTCTGTAAATTTTTGCAGGGCACAAAGTCCTGTTCTTGAGTCTGAAAACTTCTGCCTCGCATCTGCTGCATAAAAAAGCTTTTCTGCTATCTGCTCAGGAAAGCCAGTCAATGAGTCAACATGATTCATGTTGTCAGCAATGTAACTCAAGACTAAGTTGAAGAGAGATTTGGCAGAATAGCGCAGATTTCCCTCCTTGGTGTAGGTGAAGATGAAATGATCTGTCCTTCCGTTGTCATTACCTCTGTTCACACAAAGCTCAACGGAGAATCCTTTGGAAAACAGCCTTGAAGGCCCTGGATTTGGAGCACAGTTGTTTACTCTTCCTGAATTTTGATTCACTTTGTATAGCTGTCCATTTTCTCGAACATATATAGGCCCTCTATCGGGGAGAGTTTCTTCATGGAGATAGTATGACATTCCTTTCAGAAAATTTCTGGGGCAAAATGAACAAAGAAAACATCAAACAAAGCAGCAGCAAATTTAGTTTATGGAAGTGTTTCTTACTGTTTATATGTCATAATTAAAAAAACAAGGAAAACCAAGCTTTCAATGGCAGGCATGGATATTGAACAAAGGCTGGAATCCAAATCTATTCAGTGTAACATAAATATCCACTAGGGGAGGGAGACAAAATTTTCTCCTTTTGGAAAAAATGATATAGGAATTACAGGCAGTCCTCAAGTTATGAACTATTTTTATGCATTTAAACTTGTAATCAACAGCAGTCTTCCCATGAATAGGAAGCCAGATGGTTGAGAAAGCATCCATTTTGTTTCCCTCATGTACATGCAATCCTTGAGTTACAAACATCCCATATTTTCTGCTTTGAACTGGAATATATGACAGTGTGGACTCAAAGCCCTTCCACACTGCCATATAAACCAAAATATCAAGGCAGGAAATCCCATATTGTCTGCTTTGAATATATGGCAGCGTGGACTAAGATAACCCAGGGCCCTTCCACACAGCCCTCTATCCCAGAATATCAAGACAGAAAATCCCACAGTATCTGAGTGTGTACTCAGATAGCTCGGTTCAAAGCAGATAATGTGGGATATAGGGCTGTATGGAAGGGCCCCAAGTTCAAAGCAGATAATCTGGGATAAAGAGCTGTGTGGAAGGGCCCCAAGTTCAAAGCAGATATTGTGGCATTTCCTGCCTTGATATTTTGGGATATAGGGCTGTGTGGAAGGACCCCAGTTCAAAGCAGATATTGTGGGATTTTATGCTTTGATATTCTGGGTTATATGGCTGTGTGGAAGGGCCCTGAATGCCTCGCCAAAAGAAACTCCCAAGACACCATAACACTGAGCCATGGCAGTTCAAGTGGTGTAAAACTGCATTAATTCTGTAGCATAGATGCACCCAAGGTTGGCTTTTGTGATTACCATTACTCTCAGGGCTATTCCATGCAGTCCTATATCCCAGAATATCAAGGCAGAAAATCCCACAGTATCTGCTTTGAACTAGGATATATGGCAGTGTGGACTCTGATATTCCAGTTTGAAGCAGATATTGTGGGACTGTGGAAGGGCCCTCATTTACTTATTTCTTATCCTGCCTTCCTCCTCATAAGGACTCAAGGTGGTTAACAATGACATGACACAACAAGATTGAAAATCAAGGAAAATAAATCTATATAAATGTAATGTTCGTTTATGGGATTAACATAACTCAAAAACCACTGGACGAATTGACACCTAATTTGGACACAATACACCTATTAGGCCAACAAGTGGTCATCACTCATAAAAACACTGAAAACGCAGCGGAAGGGACTAAAAAAGCCAAAAAACAAAAAATACATTACAACACATGCGCAAAACCACACATATATACACAAACATACATATATACACATACAGACATACAGACATATATACACACACAAAACATATACACAGAGTAGCCTACAGCAATGTGTGGCAGGAGGTGGCTAGTATAATATATAAATATGAAATATTAATACAAAATGTTAGAAAAACAATTACACGTCTGTGTAATGAGTGTAAAAGTTATAAACACACCAAGGGGCCATCTAACCCAGAATATCAAAGCAGAAAATACCTGCTTTGAACTGGGTTATCTGAGTCCACACTGCCATATATCCCAGTTCAAAGCAGAAAATGTGAGATTTTATTCAGCTGTATAGAAGGGCCCGAGGAGACCAGGATATGAATCCCTAGTTTGCCAGGGAGCTCACTGGATGAGTCACAGACTCTCAGCCACAAACGCAAACAACAATAAACCATGGTATGTTTACCTTTGGGTCGCCACGAGTAACAAAGATCACAATATGCGCAGGAAGACTTTGCACTGCTCTTTGAGACACCCCCAGCTTTAAAAAAAGGAGGGCAACTCACCCCAGAGGAGCCAGGTTGAGTCTCAGAGGAAGAGGAGAAAGGGACCGCCAGTAGCCATTCAACCTTCGAGGGCAGAAGGGCTTCCTTCCATCTTCAAAGCAGAGGCAGCGGCGCCACAGAGGGAGGAAAAGCAGAGTCACGCCCGCCTCCTATTCCCCTGCTTCAAGACCTCTCTCTGGGTCGCTTTATGCTCATTTTTATGCCCCCAAAAGACGCAAAACCCAGTGCAAAAGTCGTCCCCACCACCGCCTTCCTCAGGGCGGAATTTGGCATTCAAACCGCAGACTCCGCCTGCTCTCTGTGTGGAGAAGAAGTAGCAGCAGCAGGGAATGGCGGGGAAGGACTCTGCAGAATGGATGCAATTTGACACCACTTCAGCTGCCATGGCTCTGGGGCAGTCCTGGGCCAAGTTGGGCCCTCCAGGTGTTTTGGACTTCAACTCCCAGCATTCCTAACAGCCTCAGGCCCCTTCCTTTCCCCCCTCAGCCGCTTAAGGGGCTGAGGCTGTTGTTTGGCAGTGTAGAAGGGGCCAAAATTGAACTTGTGTGGTCTTCTGGCAAGCTTTGTTTAGAAGAGGATTGCCTAATAATAATAAAAATTGCCCAAAGGTAATAACAGTAACAACAACAATTGCCCAAAGGTTACCCAGTAGGTTTGAGCTTAATAATAATAATAATAATAATAATAATAATAATAATAATTGTTGTTGTTGTTCATTCGTTCAGTCGTCTCCGACTCTTCGTGACCTCATGGACCAGCCCACGCCAGAGCTCCCTGTCGGCCGTTACCACCCCCAGCTCCCTCAAGGTCAGTCCAGTCACTTCAATGATGCCATCCATCCATCTTGCCCTTGGTCGGCCCCTCTTCCTTTTTCCTTCCACTTTCCCCAGCATCATTGTCTTCTCTAGGCTTTCCTGTCTCCTCATGATGTGGCCAAAGTACTTCAACTTTGTCTCTAGTATCCTTCCCTCCAGTGAGCAGCTGGGCTTTATTTCCTGGAGGATGGACTGGTTGGATCTTCTCGCAGTCCAAGGCACTCTCAGCACTTTCCTCCAACACCACAGCTCAAAAGCATCGATCTTCCTTCGCTCAGCCTTCCCTAAGGTCCAGCTCTCACATCCGTAGGTGACTACAGGGAATACCATGGCTTTGACTAGGCGGATCTTTGTTGTCAGTCTGATGTCTCTACTCTTCACTATTTTATCGAGACTGGACATTGCTCTCCTCCCAAGAAGTAAGTGTCTTCTGATTTCCTGGCTACAGTCTGCATCTGCAGTAATCTTTGCCCCTAGAAATACAAAGTCTGTCACAGCCTCCACGGTTTCTCCTTCTATTTTCCAGTTGTCAATCATTCTTGTTGCATAATCTTGGGGGTTTTTTTGTTTAGCTGCAACCCAGCTTTTGCGCTTTCTTCTTTCACCTTGATTAGAAGGCTCCTCAGCTCCTCCTCGCTTTCGGCCATCAGGGTGGTGTCATCTGCATATCTGAGGTTGTTAATGTTTCTTCCAGCAATTTTCACCCCAGCTTGCATTCATCCAGCCCCGCACATCGCATGATGTGTTCTGCATACAAGTTACAAAGGTTGGGTGAGAGGATGCAGCCTTGCCGTACGCCTTTCCCAATCTTGAACCAGTCTGTTGTTCCGTGGTCAGTTCTGACTGTTGCTACTTGGTCCTTGTACAGATTCCTCAGGAGAGAGACAAGGTGGCTTGGTATGCCCATCCCCCTAACAACTTGCCACAATTTATTATGATCCACACAGTCAAAGGCTTTAGAATAGTCAATGAAGCAAAAATATATGTTTTTCTGAAACTCCCTGCCTTTCTCCATTATCCAGCGGATATTGGCAATTTGGTCTCTCGTTCCTCTGCCTTTTCTAAACCCAGCTTGAACATCTCTGGCAACTCTCTCTCCATGTATTGCTGGAGTCTTCCTTGCAGGATCTTGAGCATTACCTTACTGGCATGAGAAATAAGGGCACTGTACGGAAGTTTGAGCAGTCTTTCGCATTTCCCTTTTTTGGTATGGGGATATAAGTTGATTTTTTCCAGTCTGATGGCCATTCTTGTGTTTTCCATATTTGCTGGCAAATGGAATGCATCACCTTGACAGCATCATCTTTTAAGATTTTAAACAGTTCAGCTGGGATCCCGTCGTCTCCTGCTGCCTTGTTGTTAGCAATGCTTCTTAAGGCCCATTCAATAATAATAATAATAGCAGCCCAAAATAATAACAAAAGCAACAATAACCCAAAGGTTGCCTAGTAGATTTCAGGGTAGAATGAGGTTTTGAACCCTGGTCTCGAGTGGTAGGGCCCTTCCAGACATGCCCTATGTTCCAGGATCTGATCCCAGGTTTTCTGCTTGAAACTGGATTATGAGTTCACACTGCCAGATAATCTGGGATAAACAGAAAACCTGGGATCAGGTCCTGGGATATAGGGCCTGTCTGGAAGGTCCCATCGTTTTATTGAACTGACAGGGGCTTAATTCTAAGGACCCTTCCACAAAGTCATATAACCTAGAATATCAAGGCAGATAATACAGAATATCTGCTTTGAAGTGGGTTATCTGAGTCCACATTGCCATATAATCCAGTTCAATGTGGATTTTATACAGCTGTGTGGAAGGGGCACAAAAATTCCAATTATCTGCTTTGAAACGAATTATATGGCAGTGTAGACTCATATAATCCAGTTCAAAGCAGATGATGTGGATTCTCTGATTTGATAATCTGGATTATATGGCTGTGCAGTAGGGGCCTAAAGAGAGATGTAGGACTGCGATAGATAACCGCATCCAATCCGCCACAAACGAGTTAGAAAAAAACACAACCTTCAATATTTGCTCTCTGCTTTATAGATTCATTATGTAGATGTTTGTGTTTGGAGGAAACCAGAGCCACGCCCACCAGAGCACCGGCTCCTTCCGTCATTTCCTGCGATGAGACGCCCCTTTCCCTTTAGGAGGCGCAGACCGGAAGTCCTCTTCCGCGCCTTGGGAGAGATTCACCTGATAGTCCCGCCTCTTCCTGTCCTCCCTTTCCGGTCCCGCAAGGGTTGCTAAGCAATCGAGCAACTCTCAGGCAGGATGGCTTAAAAGCGAGGGACTCTCTCTGGGCAAACCTGTATGAAGAGCGAGAGGAGGAGGGGATGAAGTTCACAGATTATGGCCTCCGCTCGGAAGGAGCCGAAGTGATTCTGGCCACGTCCAGTGATGAAAAATTCCCCCCAGAAAATATCCTTGACGGGTAAGCTTCGAACCTGAGCAGAAGTTGTTTGCTGTGTGCCCTCAATTCAGAAAATGCCTGACAGGGTTGCTGCGAATTTTCCGGGCTGTGTGGCCATGTTCCAGAAGCATTCTCTCCTGACGTTTCGCCTGCATCTATGGCAGGCATTCTCCGAGGTTGTGGAATGTCCAGGGTAGGAAAAAGAACTTGTCTGCTTGAGGCAAGTGTGAATATTGTAATTGGCCACCTTGATTAGTATTGAATGGCCTTGCAACTTCAAAGCCTGGCTGATTGCTGCCTGGGGGAATCCTTTGTTGGGATATGTTAGCTGGCCCTGATTGTCTGACGTATTGTGACTATCACAGGGTTTACTTGGCCGTGCCTTCCTCTGGGGCTGAATTTTTGTATCCTCAAACTTCAATTCCAAATACGTATCTTCTTTACTCAAGATTTTATGCTGTCCCCATAATATATAGTTAGTTTTTGTCAATGTTATTGTTACCCTAGTAAGTTAAGTTATTGTGGTCACTTTGGAAATAGTGCAGACTTCCTTTTAGACAGTCTTTTTTCAATGTTGCGGCTTAACGTTGCAAACAGAGAAACAGTTCCCTCTCCCTAATGCAGGCATGGGCAAACTTCTTCCCTCCAGGTGTATTGGACTTCAACTCCCATAGTTCCTAACAGCCAGTAGGCCTGGAGGGCCAAAGTTTGCCCATGCCAGCTCTAAAGTCTCTTTTTTTCAAATATCCTGTTTTGTAATGCTACATAGCTATTAAATAACATAATCTGAGGCTTTACCTGCATCAATACATACAATAATACATGTTTATGTATTATATAGGTGTACAGTATATAGATTGATATATAAATATAATGTATATTATCGTTAACAATAATTTTATTAATATTAAATCATCTCACTTATATATTATAGGTTTTGGTTGCAGTCCCAATTACCTGAGAATAAGACGCAGTAAACACAGTGGGATTTAGACATACATGGGATAGGGTTATTAGCCACCATAGAAATAAACATCAGAAGATTACCTTGCACACAAAAAAGTATTTATTGGTTAAAGACATTATCTGTGTACAGTTAAAATGAAATAACTCTTAATTTTATTCAGTGTGGATTGGAGACACGTTATTAGCTATCATACTAATATATGTGTGTGTGTGTGTATGTCAACAACAACAATTTTTATTGATTAGCCAGTTGGCCTTATCAAAACAGACAGTGCAAATACAACATACAACATACATATATCGCTTCTTGGCCTTTTGGCTAAGCTCAAGTGTAGTATATGTTTATGTCAGAGCAATATCTATACAAATTATTTCAAGGAAGTAAATTGCATAAACATTTTGTTTGTGTATTTATTTATTGTATTTCTGTATCACCTTCCAGCCCACAAGGATTTTCAAGGTGATGATCCTGGCTAGCTAAAACTCTTATCCTATGCATGGTTTTGTGTGTATATGTGCCTTCAAGTTGCCTGTTGACTTACAGCAGCCTCATTAATTTCATAGGGTTTTCTTAGGCAAGGGATACTCAGTTTCTGCCAGTTCCTAAATAGATAGGGATAAGTCCCAATTTAGTCACTTGACATGTTTGTTAGTAAATAGTCATAGGCCCAATCTACACTGCCATATAATGCAGTTTGAAGCTGTATTACATTGTCAATAGACTCATCTTATGCCGTTTACTTTAACCTCATTGAACGGTATTATATGAGTCTATATTGACCGAATAACACAGTTTCAAACTCCATTCTATGGCGGCATAGATGGGGCAATAGAATTACTTGCATAATAACTTTATTATTTGTAGGGTTTTTTGCCCAGACGTAAACATTCCTTTATATTTGTAAACCTTACTCTGCATCCTTCAGCATTCCCATGAGGGAGATCCATATTAAGTTTTTAAAAAGCGAATTATAACTGGTGCAACTGGTGTAGCACTGGATGAGGGTCATTTGTTGTACACTGGTCTGAAAACCTGCCTCTTCCTTCACACTATTTTTTTGATTAAAATCTTTCAGCCTACTTATGGTACTTTCACCAGAAGAACACACAAAGTTACCCACAAGGTATAAATTGTAAAATGGTATGTTGGATATCTTTATTTTTCTAAATGTGATTAACTTTCTGTGTGGCAGTTATGTCTGCAAATACACATCTAACATTGTAACATTTTCATCACTTTGTTTTAATAGACGATCTGACACATTTTGGACGACAACTGGAATGTTTCCACAAGAATTTATTATTTCTTTAAATAAATGTGTAACCATAAACAAGCTCACAATCCAGTGCTATTTAGGTAAGTTATAGTACACGGCTAGATTTAGTGTCATATCTACGATATGTATTGGATTTGCTTTATACTTCTAGAATATAGTTACCTTTATTTCAGAAAATGAGCTTTTGTGTTTTAATTATACTGTGAGAAACAGCTCTCATTTTCATAAGTTAATGGATAATGTAGGCCCTGACAACTATATTTGTAAATTTTTATAGCTAATTTAATACCCAAAAATAATCATAACTGAAAGTCAAAATAATTCTTGCTCTAAAATATAGTTTATCGAAAGGATCTAGTCAGTGGCCATAGGTGTGTGTCCTTGTTATTTAAATTCAGTGATTTTCTTTGCATGTGATATCAACCTTTCTTGAACAGACATAAGTAAAGTATACCTGAAAATGGGATTTGGTGAGGCCCCAGTTCTCTTTGGCAGAAAAGGCTAAAGTCCTTCTAAAACTACAAATCCCAAGGTTCCGTATCATTGAGCCATGGTAGTTAAAATGGCATCAAACTGCATTCGTTCTACAATGTAGGTGAACCCTCAGATTATGTTATTTAATAGTTTTGTAGCTCATATTTTCACGAATTGTGAGAATTTAGTCTTCTGTAAATACTATTTTGTAATTGATTTTAAAAAGAGCAAGACAACTGATGTTATAACTGAGAATTTTTTAAATTGCTATCTCTAGTGCAGACATTGCGGATTGAAAAAAGCATGTCCAAAGATCCAATTGATTTTGAACTCTGCATTCAAAAAGGTAATTGTACTTAATATAATAGCTAAGGTTAAATAGGTCATGATATAATATATAAATACATTAGGGCTTTATTCTACTTGTCATTCTCAAATGGAGTAGACTTGTTTAACAGATGGAATTACATATTTTTTCAGTAATTTGAGGTATATTCTCTAATCGGCATTAACAATTGAATGTAGACCTTAAATGGCAGTCATATGAACTTATTGGACAAAATTTTTATTGAATTTGATCAAACTCAGATTGAATTAGTGTGCATATGTAGGAATAGGTTGTCAGTGGATTGGAGCAGTCACTCACTTGTGTAAGAATAGGAACCAGCAACTAATTCACATCTTTTGTAGTGTAAGGGTGTATGCCTCTTACACTAATTAACTAAGGGCCCTTCCACACAGACATACAGATGGTTTTCAACAATGGATTTTAATGTTGAGATAAATGATTTTAATGTTTGTGTATGTGTTTGATCTATTTATGTCCCGGCACTGAATGTTTCCTGTTTGTATGTTGTGTTCGCGTTAAGTCCCCTTCTGGGTGAGAAGGGCAAAATAGAAATGTTTTAAATAAATAAATAAATAAATAAATAAAGCCCATAATATCTGCTTTGAACTGGGTTATCTGAGTCCATACTGTCATATATTCCAGTTGAAAGCAGAAAATGTGGGATTTTATTCAGCTGTGTGGAAGGGGCCTAAATTGCTAGTTCATTATTCCATTCATGTAACAATTATGTCGTGACCCAAGGAACACAGATTGTCTCAAACAGCAATTGAGATGTAAAATAATAGTCTTTTAATGAATAACAAACTTAATGAGGCACTTTAACAGCAGTGAAGGCAGTTCAAAAGGTGTTTTCAGGCAAGAACATAAACAGTAGATAATCCGGATATCTAGCAGGCTTGAATAGCAGCCAAAAATAAACAGGAGATACAAGAGCTTGTAGCAAAATGCAAAGCAAAATAGTCTCTAAGAAATACAAGGTTCAGAGCAAGGTCCGATAGGCAAATACGTAGTCCAGTCAATTCCAAGGTCAGGTAGCCAGGCGTAACACTCACGAACGGAGATTCCAAGGTCCGAAGGAACATGGCAGGGAAACAGGATACTGGGAATCCAAGCAAGATTAGGCAGAGTAACAACACATAACAACACTTTGTCGTCTGCAAAGAAACAGTTCCCAATGTGCACATTTTATTCACTATCAGAAGATTGGGATTCATTAGACTCATCTGATTCTCCTTGCGCAGCTGAAGCATCTAAGCCATGCCAAGTTTGCCACCTTTGTTCTAATGCCTGATCCTGCCAAGAAGATCCCTCATTCCAGTTATCCTGAAAACCCTCAAAATCATCGCTGGAGGTTGTTTGATTGCAAATGTCTCTAATGTTCTGAACCAGAGTCCAGTCTAAAGCCTCCTCCAGCTCATCCTCACTGGCACTGGAATTATCTGCTGTGTCTTTAAGCCTCTTAGACATAGTGTCACTATCACTGCCAGACTCACTGGCCACTCTCTTTACTCCCCTGTAATCTGCTTCCATAGCTTCCTCTGGGCTGAATCCTGCAAAGTCTTCCGAATCACTGGAAGCCAGAAAGATGTCACGAATACGTTTCAGCTGACGCTGATTCTCCTCTGCTTCTGCATCACTTCTTCTTCTTCTACTACTACTAGTAGTAGGTATGGTGCCAGAATGCTGAGTCTCAACAAATTAGGTGATAGCCTTACATCCTTTACAGGGTCTTTGTAATGATTATTCAAACCATGAATTTGAAGTACTTTTTATACTTAGAAAAAAAAGTGTTATAAAATATATATAATACATTTTTCTCTGGCAAACAAAATGCCTGAGGGCCCTTCCATACAGCTGTAGATCCCAGAATGTCAAGGCAGAAAATTTCACAATATCTGCTTTCAACTGGGTTATCTGAATCCACACTCAGATAATGTGGGATTTTCTGCCTTGATATTCTGGCATATAGGGCTGTGTGGAAGGGCACTTAGTGACCAAATAATGTCTGTTTTCTTAATAATAAAAAAGTCAGTGCATCATGTTCTCATTTGGAAAGGTTTGCCCATGCAAATAGGGCTACTGTTAAAAAAATCCCAATCCTAATTGCTCCTCACTTGATGAAAAAAGTAAGGGAATGAACTTTGACAGGAAACCTTTCAAATCTGAATAAATTCTTTCTGGAGAAGCAAATACCTTTAAAATTCTCACTTCAATGAAACCAGTGATAAACCACCTGTAGATTTCACTGAGCATTTAATTTTCCACTATAAGTAGATTGCTTTATTCTCCTCTTGAGTTCTCAAATTTATAAGACAAACTGTATGTTATATATTCACTTTTTTATTTTTATTTTTAAATCTAGAGTTGCAGTCTACAGAAGGGGAGCTTCAAATTGAAGAATTCTCTGTGAGTATATTGCAATTCAACATATACAATAAATAGGGGGGAAATGTGTCACCAATTTTTAAAAAAAGGATGGAACTGTGTAAAGCAGCAGTTCTCAAAGTGTGCTCCGTGGTTCCTTCCTTCTCTTCCAAGATTTCCCTCCTCTTTCCTACTCTTCCTCCTGCCCCCTTTGCTGCCCAAGGCCTTTTCCCTGGCCTTCCTTGCCACAAAAAGCCTTTTTTCCTCCCCTCCCTTGCCCTCAAAAGCCGTTTTTCCTCCCTTCTCTTGCCCCCAAAAGCCTTTTTTTCATCACCACCCAGATCTTTTCCCTCTTGCCTTGCTTGCTTCTAAAACCCTATTTCCCTCTCACCACTTAGGGGGTGCTTTGATTGTGCTTTTCTTGTGTGGCAGATGGGGATTGGACTACATGGCCTCTGGGGTTTTCCACTGAAATACTGTTAAGTTGGTCAAAAAGTTTGCCCATGCCTGATATATATACATTATATCTAATATATATTAATATGTATAAACATTTCTTGGGGCTCCACAATAAACTTTTTTCTTTAAAAAGGGCTCTGTGGTTGAAAAAGTTTGAGAACCCCTGGTATAGGCAAATCTTTGTGTTTGTGCTATATGTCCATATATTACACTGGATAGCTAAAATGTAGATTATCCTATATGTGTAAAATTAAGGAATGCTGATAATTACTATTGGGGATTGGTGATTGTTACCTTGAGTAGCTTTTTTGATTGTTTTAGATACATGCAGTGATACGAAAAGTATATTTACTCCGACATAAATGATATTTTCCAAATTCAACTGAATTTACTTCTTAGCTAGTTTATTTAGGATTGCAGCTTCTGTTATGTGCAAAAATGTTCCTTTTATGATTTGTGACATCTCAGTCTTTTGGAACTTAAAAATGGTTTTTGAAATGTTTAATGACTGACCTCAATCATACCGGCCACCATCATGTTTCAAAATACCAGACAGATGTAGCAGATTGTATTCTCCATCATTAGCATTTTTATAATAGCACCAGAATCCTCAAAAATTTAAAATATGCTTAAGCCAGCCCCATTGAAATGGACATTAAATATTTTCACGTGACTAAATTGTGCTCGGAATTTTATAACATTGATATTAATATGATTGTTTTTCTTTTCACAGTTTCCCGATATGCAAGCTGCATATTTGCGATTCATAATTTTGTCCGCTTTTGATGCTTTTGTATCAGTGCATAGGGTAATAGTGGAAGGAATAGCTTGATATTTTATTTCAAAGTTAAATATGCTTTTTGCAACACAGTAATAACATTGTATTGATTGTGTAATCCAAACATTGCAATATGCTTTATAAATAATAATTTGTTTTCATTTGAGTATTTTTCTGTTGTTCCACATTTTTAAGGTATTGTTTGTATAATAAATAGGACTCCTTTCTGCAGAGAACATAGTGTGTTTTCTGTAAACACAGATCCACTTCTAGCTATCACTAGTTTTCTGATTTAAGGATTGTTTAAGTTTATGAATGGAAAACCCTTGCATACATGCAACTTGCCCTATTTCAGAAATATTTCTGACTGTCTCTTAATTTGAAATTTCAACTGTGTGAAGATGAATTCTGCAGTCCAGCATTTTGTTCCTTGTGTGCCACAGTTATGAAACACGCATAAAATATATGCTTCGTTTCAAATAAGTTGTAATGTAAACAGATAAACCAAGTCCTCTTTGCAGAATTTTCATAGTACGGTAGTTTAAAGTTCAGGGAACAATTGTCCTGGAAGTATTGTATTTTATACATGGTCCAAATCCAAATAACTATGCGACTTGTTCCACCTATATTAAACTACATAACTAAATGGGTTTTGGATGTGTGATGTTTCAAATAAGCTTTTCACACTACATGACTACTTTTGAAACAAACAGAACTTCAACAATACTTTGGTGTATACATGTGTGGTTTAGCAATTTAAAATAATGTCATTTCAGTGAAGGAATTCAAACACTGGTATGCCTTAAATAACACTAGATATCCTTGCTAATATCAATTCTTTCTACAATAAGAGGCGGGGCTCTTACTGGTATTGGCTGGTATTGGCTACTTGATTAATATTTTTACATCAGCAGTGTTCTTTTGTCAAATTGCGCATGATTGTAATATATTTTTGACATAACCCTGCAACACAATAAAAAGTCTTCCCCTTTCCTCCATCAGAAATGCAAACTTGTATAACTGTTATTCAAATTTATACAGATGGGGATAAATTTGAATAAATAGTAATGTGTAGACTTGCAACCAAAATATTTTTTAAAAGGTAGTCAAAAACAACCAGTTCAGTCTGTTGAGATAGTGTCTTTAATATATTGTAGTTTAGCATACTGTTTCTATCAATATTTTTTTCCAAATCAGGCCAAAGCTCTTCATGCTTTAAGCTATGACTATCATAAATAAATATGAATAGAAACAAAATGAAGTCAATGAGTACAACAGTTCAGTTCAGAAAGCCATTATGTGCTAGTAGACATTCAAAGCATTACATTTCATCATTCTGCTGCCCATTATGGGAAGATAAGGTGCTACATAAAAAAAGTTTCCATACAGTTATTTCTCAGCTGATTGTGCAACTGTTGTTTACACATGTTCCTTAGGCAAAGATGACTGATATTTTGTAGGTAGCCACATAAATAAAGCTATACAATGCCTAATTTGGTATTGAATAGCCAAAGCTATGGACAAATCTTGACTGGTGAACACTTAGTTCTCTTTTTTCCAATTTAATGAGGCTTTATCCTCCGAAAATGTCCCACCAAAGATGTATTCATGCTTTTAAAAATTAACCAGACTAGGGATTGACTATGTATGTATGTGATCACCACAACAGCTGTTTTATAGCTTTAAAGTAGTTCTTCCAATACTTCACGGACTTCCTGTGGACGGTAATTCCAGGGTCCCACTCCACCCTGTAAAAGGAAAAATACAATGTTTTTCTGAACAGTTCTGGGGAAGTGAGTGAAGGGTGTAGGGGAGAAACCAGGAAAAAACTGAAAGAGAGAAGGACTTTTTTTCCTACGCTTTATGAAAATACAATACTGCCATTATTATTTTCAATTTTTATTATGCAAATACTATAATTCCTCATGTAGACCATTGGTACTATTTTTCTTATGGAATCTAAAGGACGAATGACATTACATGGAAATACACAGAAGGTCCCACCATCACTATCCTGGGCCTTGTGAAGCGTGAGTAGGATTAGAAGAATCAGGCTATGTCCTCATATCCTGAAGCAAAATTATTACATTAAAAGTTGCCCAGAGATTTCAACTGTGCTTTAGTAATTCTATATCTTTCTGTGGCAATATAATTGGCAGCTTCCCCAATCCACATAGAGCTATACATGATTGTAGCCACTTAATATTACTTAACACGTTTTACCTTATAGACAATATTTCCCCCTTGAAGCACATAAAGTCTCTCTGGAAGAGCTGCATAGCTGGAGCTACTTGAGTTTTCCATAGTGTCCATGACCACTGAACATAAGGGATACTGTTTTAGCAGGATCTCTGCAGCCTGCATACGATCGTGGAGAGTTCTGTGACTTTTAATAACAATATTGTTCTTAAAAGCCCACCCATCTAAAAGAAAGAGTATTATTATACACATTACAAAGCATGTTTTCATATTTACATTTATTAAACCAAATAAAGTTTAGGATTCTAGCTATTACGTTCAAACCCACACTATTTTCTTTGTTTCCCCCTTCCAGTCAGCATTCTGGAGCCGCAAAGCAAACACTCAATCCTCATTGGGCTATTGAGGATGGAAGAGGTTTAAGCAACATTTGTTCCTCCCCTAACCATGATCATAACCTAGTTATGATTTTCTGGAATTGTTAGGGGAGCAGGTTGTTTCATTTAGAAGCTATTAAAATAATATAGGTATGTATGCACTATGCAGATGTTTTAAGGTAAGGATTCCTCGTGCAGAGGTGAGAGAATGCAGTGGAAGTGAGTGGTGATTGGTGGAATGTCTGAAGGGTTTTTGAAAAGGCTGGTATTTGACAGGGTCAGGAATGACAGTTGTCTGTTAAAATTAAAAATTAGCATGGTTTAAGATTCTCAGTGGTTAGGAGAGGTCAGAGATAACTAGAGTTAGTTAGGATATGAGAAAGAATGGGATCTGTATGTTAGAATGAGTTCAGTCAAGATATATGTATTAATTAAGCCATCTAAAATCATAGATTTTGAAAAGACCACAAGGGCTAGCCAGTCCAACCCCCACCCCCCCATCAGATGGGAGCACAAAATCAAAACTCTGACAGATGGACATCCTGTATCTGTGATGCTCTGTTTGCTTTCAGTTTTGTAAGGCATTTCTCTATTATATACTTGAACCTCAGAACCCTACATATTGCAAACTCTGAGTTCAGACATGATGCCTGTGGAGGCAGCAGTTAATAAAGGGTAGTGTTGTCTGGTGGAAAATGAAATAAAATCCCATAATCCCATATAGGAGTCACAAAGGCATCAAGGAGGATTCCCACAGTAAGAGACCACAGTGTTGGGACAGGAAATCCTCACATTGCTGGCAGAGGTGAGGATAAAGGAAAACCTTCATGTTTAGTAGCATTAAAAGAAGCAATAGAGGTGGTGGTAAATAATGTGATTCACAAATTCTTAACCTGCAGATGTGGAGGAATGACTACCACCACCTGTGCAACTGCCCTATACAAAACAGAAAAGATTGTTATCTGTAGGCATTTGTAGGTTCTACAGCAAGACTCTGATCACATTATGGCAGAGGCTGACCATAAATTCATGCTAGAGAACTCACAAATGCTTAGAGAAGTATTTCCTCGGGAAAAATACTACTAGCTTTTGGAGTTTTCCAATTTCATGGGGATGCTGCCCCTAATTCCCACAAATGTGGAAGGACTGCTGTAGTTTATATGCTTTATGTACTGTGCAGAGCTGCAGCAACTATGCTTCACCTGAGGCATGGGCTTCTTCAATGTAGACCACAAGGAAATCTGCTGCAAAACTGAAATCTTCTATAAGCTTCTTGAACTCTCCAAATCTGAACATAAATGAAGGTCAGGTACAGCTTCCAAATGCTAGGACCAAAGGCCTGTTATCTGCAAAAGACAAAGCAGTTTTTGAAGTGAGAGGATACAAAAAGTAACATGAGTAAGTCTAACACATTCCTCTATACATTGGAAGATAAGATTTGATCATATAAACCGCATAAAATGTAAACGTTCCAGAGGTCAGTGGGTGTTTCCAGCAAAGAAATTCATTTAAATAAGTTTTTGGGTATGCCTAGAATATTAGTCTTCTGTTTGTAACTCTCCTATGTTTTCTGTCCGCTTCCATAGTTGTTCTTCTTGTACAAAAATTTTATAAGTAGGAAGAAAAGAAGGAGAAGAAGAACTTTATTTTTCTACCCCGCCTCCATCTCCCCGAAGGGACTCGGGGTGGCTTACATGGGGCCCAAGCCCAGGCAGAATACAATTAAAATAAAGCAATAACAATTAAAACAGCATAAAAACAGCATAAAACAAATAGCTTACAACAACAATAGCAGCAGACTAATTTTGGAGGTGGGGGAGGAAAACCACTATGTGAACTAGTTAAGGGATAAAGTGGTTTAGTAAGGTAGATGACAATGTATAACGGCATAGGAAAAATCATGGAAAGAGAGCAAATTAACAGGATCAGTTAATATAATATAGGACATCGGGTTGAATGACAATTCAAGTCATGATACAGGCCATTTGTCATAGGAGTCGTCGATCGAAAGCACGACGGAATGTGGCTAGGGAGGGTGCCAGCCTAATCTCCCTGGGGAGGGAGTTCCAGAGATGGGGGCCACCACCGAGAATGCCCTCTCTCTCGTCCCCACCAACCATGCGTGAGATGGGGACGGGAGCGGGAGAGTAAGATCTTAAGGACCACATGGGCTCGAAAGGGAGGAGGCGGTCACACAGATAGGCAGGTCCAGAACTGTTTAGAGCTTTATAGGTGATAACCTGCATCTTGTATTGGGACTGGAAACTTATCGGCAGCCAGTGGAGCTGTTTAAACAGGAAGGTTGACCGGTCTCTGTAACATGCCCCAGTTAACAATCTGGCCGCTGAAACCTGGAAATAGATGCACTATTGCTTCTGAATGGTGTGTTAGAAAGAGCATATGTGATTCCAGATAGATAGTTTCTGGGGCTAAGATCACTCACAAAATCTTGCTGGCAATTTTATTAGGGCTGTTTTATGAAAAATGACATTATAACATGTTAAAATTAAATTAGTTGCTTCTAATGGGTTTGAAATTTTATTACCTGCGTTTTAATGCCGTTTGTTCATGGCCTCCATAGGGCCAAGAGCAGAGGCCTTTGCGGATGAGACTCACATACAACTTCCCTAAGGTCACCCAGTGGCTTTCCCTTGCCAAGCAGGGATTTAAACTATAGTCTCCTAAAATAATTGTGTGAATTATTGTCCTCAAATCTGTTAAGGTCATTTTGAATCTGAATTCTATTCTCTGCGATATTAACAATTCCTCCTAATTTGGTGTTTGATCTTCCCCTTTATCTCATTGTCAAGATATTTATAAAGAGGCTAAAGAGTTCTAGGAAGGAACTCTATGCCATCTTACTACGATGATCAGATCTGTGCATAATGGGGATCATTCTTTGGGTTTGATCCATTAACCAGTTACAAATCTACCTAAATATACTATTGTGAACCCTGTATTCCTGTCCACATCTTGAGGTCTGAGGAGGGCTTTCTCTCTGTCTTGCCATACTTATCTGGTGGAACTAGAAGAGGGGGCTATTTCCAGCTCTGCAACTACCATTCTAGGTAAGGTAGACTGGTGACCTCCTTGCTATTCTTATGTAGGCAGAATGAAGCTTTTTGTGTTCGGGATGACCACCTTCATGTATTCTAGTTTTATTTACATCCTCAACTGTTATGCTTTTGTATTGTCGAAGGCTTTCATGGCCGGAATCACTGGGTTGGCCATGTTCTAGAAGCATTCTCTCCTGACATTTTGCCTGCATCTGTAGCAGGCATCCTCAGAGGTTGTGAGGTCTGAGGATGCTTGTCACAGATGCAGATGAAACGTCAGGAGACAATGCTTCTAGAACATGGCCATACAGCTCGAAAAACCTACAACAACCTATTATGCTTTTGTTTTTAATTTTTGTGTGTCATAAAACTTTTTGCTGAATATGTTTTAACTTTTGTAATTCACCTTGAGTCCCAGGCTGGGAAAAGACAGGGTGTAAACCGCTTTGAGTCGCCCAAGGGCTGAGAAAAACGGTATATAAATGAAGTAAATAAATAAATAAATAAATAAAGAATCAGCACAATTATCTTGTCTGCAAGAATATCATGGAGAAGTTTGTGAAATTAAGATTAATTACATCTAGAGTAGTGCATCTTAAACTGTGGGTTCTGATCCCAAATCAGGTCATGAAAAATTTGGCAACAGTAAAAGGTTTCTGAATGCCACCTAGACAGTTACACAAATCTGTTGGCAACAACATAACAGTGTTTATGCTGGACTCTGCAGAATATGCTTCAGCTGTACTTCATAAAAAGGAAAATCAACCTATTATCAGTAAATGTTTGATTTTTATCCTTAACGTTATGTACCTTACCTATATACCTGGGGTCATGTAAACATTTCTCAAGAAGAAAAGGGTAGGAGTGGAAAAAAAGTTTAAGAAGCCCCGATCTAGAGCATTCCCTTTGATTTCTGAAGTTATATCATTCTTGCTTTTTTGGTGTTCTGTTTCCAGCATCAATGACAGCATCTGAATATGCTTAAGTATCGTGCGCATGCAAGTTTTTGTGTATATTTTACAAATAGTACATCTTACCTACTGAAAAGACTAGTTTAATGATTCATGACTGCTGGAAAGGGCAAAGTACACTTTGTTTTTATCTCTCCCTGCACAATTTTATGCACTAGAATTTTAACAGATATATATCTTTAGAGGAGTTATTCCATTCACATTTATGTTTAATTGAATAAATCTTAGGTTCAAGCTGTTATCCTTCTTAGATTTACCTGGGAATAAGTTACATTCATACTTGAATGTGTTTAGGATTGTGGTATTGCCAGATATAAATGTTTCCCATTGCTTTCTCCAGAGATCTGACAGCAAATTATAAGAATAAACATTTAAAGGACCAAAACATTTAAAGGACCAAAATACACTGTTATTTATGAAAAATATTTTTCCCAGTTCATCATATATGAACAAAATAGAGATAATTGTTTAAGATGGTTTCTAACAGTCCACACTAGTTTTGATACATTTTGGCTCTAAATTGAGAGATCATGGGTTGTGTAATCATGGCTGAAATTCAAGCTCAGCATGTTCTGAAGTGGATTTAGAAACCAGTTCAGATCGTGTTCTAATGATATAACAAACTTTCAAAAATCCCCATCATTTTAAAATTTACCTTGCATGAAGTCCAGGATGCGATGAATTTTCCCTTCAAAATCTACCACAGGGGTGTTGGGTGCAGGACAACCTTGAAATGCTTTGTCTTCAAGCCTCTTCCACTTTACATTTAATACAAAGAGTAAGTATTGGAAGCTGAAGAAAGTTGGACCCCAGTTTTCATAGACAAAATTAGGGTTCCTTTCCATGTCATTCCTCTCATTCTGTTTCAATATATGTCTCTTAGCTGCCGCTGGGAACAAGATCATAAAAAGTTTACCCACTGCAGTAGACAGGCACACTTGCAAAAGAAGCCAAGTCTTTTGCACCAATCTTCTGACTCTGAACATATTGCTGGAATGAGAAGCTGCTAAGTTGTGCAAAGCAGAATTCCAGGCTACCGCTGAAGTAAAGAGAACTAGATGGGGAAGATTAATCATTGATAGACCTGTTTATCTTCAACATGCAGGGATAAGGCTTTAAGATTACATCAGAGTGTCTTTTGTCTATTTATGGTCTATCAAGTAAAACATTCATCAAATTACATGTTGTGCCATTTTCAATGTCAGGAATTATGGTCTATATACACTTTTGTCTGGAACAAGCATCTGATGGAATCAAGCTGTTCTAGATTTGCCCACTCATATTGTTTCATACATTGACTGAAACACCTTTCAAGTAAGGAGATCCAACTTGATTTCTGTAGAATTTTATTGGTCACCAAGTACCGTACTTATTTTTCTTATCTTTATCTTCAGAAAGAATATGAATGAGACAAAGAAAGTGTTTCTTTTTTTATTCTCATAGGAACCAAGCAGCACTAGAATGGTGACAACACTGCAGCCTGAGCCAATAAAATTTTAGTCTTCTATGTTACCAAGTGGAAAAAAGTTTCATGATGTTTTGCTATCATTGCGTCCATGATCAATTTACTCTGTAAACCCAAGTTTTTTCTTCAGAGATTCTGTCATCTCAGGTGGAGGTGGACAAGGAAGCCTGAAATATACCTTCACAGAATCATAGATGAACCACTGCAGTGCTGTCAGGGTGCCAATCATAATAATATGTGCAAACAGCCCCTTCCATACACCTTTAATTCTCAGCCTCTTCAGCACTTTCAGAGCTGTACTGCTCTTTTCTTTATTCAGCACAGATCCCACAGAATTAGCAGGATGTGAGACAATGGCACAGAAGACACCAGCAATATAGCCTGCTACAAATGTTACAACCAGCTGTTCTCCTTTGGAACATTCACTCCTTGCTTTGGGGACAACATGTTTGTAAAGAGCTTCTACAGTTAGTTCAAAGCAGGCAAACTTCATCATTGTATATGGAATTTGCCTCATCCGTAATGGCGCAACATCTTTGTAGAAAGCCCAAATACCTTCTGCAAACATTTTCGGAGCTGCTTGCCGCAATGTATTAGCATACCCAGGCTGCGTTTGAATGCGAACCTTAGCAGCTTCCATTGGAGCCAAAGCAATATCAGCAAAGAACTCTGCACTGGCAGATGCAGCCAAGTACAGTGATGTACGCCACAAGTATGTATTTTCCTCTCCTAATATGTTTCCATACAGGATTTTGAACATTTCATAGAAACCAAATTTGCAGAGTCCTTGCATGGAATATCCAATTGAAGGAAGCTAAGCCTGAAAATCCTAACTAATATCATTAATTCTAAAGTTGGATCAATCTAAAAACCTATACTATAGAAGCGTTTTACATGAGACAGTAAGCTTTCCCCTTTTCAAAGCAGGCAGATTCAAAGCAGGCGAATGAGATAAGTACTTTGGCAAACTAAGATAAGAGTAGAAAATAGGCATTTCCTGCTGTTTGGCAAAGCAAAGGGTCAGCTACAAGTTACAGAGTGACAGCGGAGCTAGAGTCACGTATCACAGAAAACCTGCAGAATAAGGAAAGAGCAACTGGACGTGGTCAGCAGAATAACAGAGGTCAAACTTAATAGGTCAACATAAACCAAAGATTGAGGGGAAACAGAAGTCCCCCTCCCATACTGGAAGGAGTTACACATAGCTTCTCTGCCTATATGATCTTTCATTCACATCCTTATTGCTTAATTTAAGGAATGTAGAACCAGCAAAAGTAGGAAACTTTAATGTATAACCAGGTATAGAATGTTTGACCTTTTGCCTAATCTCATTGTTTAAGATGTTTGTTAAATGGTATACGAAGCCCCACTTTTAGGATGGTGGATGCGACAACCACTTTGAATGAAACACTGTGTTGTTTCTGGCTTGTTCGTCTCTCCACAGCCGTGAAGAAAATAAATGAGATTTGCTTTACCTCTGGAAGCTGGACGCACTTCATTTGCTGCCCTATGCGATGAACTCAGCTAGGACCCCAAGCAGGGGGTCCCCTACAGCACCATCTTCTTTGACAGTAACTGAAAATCCATTGAATATGCTCTTATATTTTTGTGGATCCACCTGAATACGGCACTTCACTAAATCCAAAGGTACGACTGCTGTGTGGGTCAGACCACAACTTAGGATATCTCCAAAGCCACAGAGCATAAAACTTGAGCGATCCATATTCACAATTTTATTCCTCTGCGGATGTGGCTGCCACGCTCTGCCGGGCACACGAGGCCTCCTCAGGCTCTGCTGGGTGCTTCCTCAACCCAAGGCCCTCCTGCTGCAGCTGCAGATGAGGAGCGTGGAATGGGTTCAGCCACACTAGCGGCGCAATGGAGAACATGGCAGCGGCGACGGGAAGTTCTCCTAAGATGGCGGAAAGCTCTGCTCTTCCTCACTAGAATGAGAACTACTTGTTCACAACTTTGTTAGACTTTGAACCCGAAACTCAACATTCATCCAAATCCATTGTAATATTTGAAATGGTTATGATCTCCCCATTTGAAGGTTTGTGGAGTTCTTAATATGAAAGTAAATGTATTCATACTGGATTAAAAAAAACAGTGCTAAAAAGTTATGCACTGCATTACATCAGGCCAGGAGTTCTCAAACTGTGCTCCGTGAAGCTCTTGGGGCTTTGCGGATGATAGTGAGGGGTTCCACAGCCCCATGCTGCTTCCTGTCTCCTCCTCTTTCCTCATCCTGAGAAATGCAGGTAAATTAAAGTTTTGAGCTGCTGGAAAAAGCAGCAGCAGCATCCACCCAAAGGAAAGATCTGTTCCTCAACTCCCTCACGACCCAAACTCTTTTTCTCACTGCCCAGACTCCACTTCTGCTTTTTCTTTGCTTCCAAAATCCTATTTCCCTCCCACCACTCAGGAGGTGCTTTGATTGTGTTTTTCTGCATGGCAAAGGGGTTAAACTGGATGCCCTTTGGGGTTTTCCACTGAAATGCTGTAAAGTTATTTAAAATTGTTCTTCATTTTAAACATAGTATTGTTCTTTCCTTTTGTATACACTGTGTGAATTAGTTCACACTCTCCATCCATCTGCCACTGGCCTGGCCCATACCTGAGATTAATATAATATAATATAGTAACATGTCTTGAGGCTCCACAAAAACCTTTGCTTCAAAAGGGGCTCTGAAAAAGTTTGAGAACCCCTGCATCAGGCTGTATCTTCAGTAACATGTAACATTAAACAAGGGGAGGCATACAATTAGTTAATGTTAAGTTTCATTAAACTGGTTTCAATCCAAGGGAAAACTTGGAAGAAAGCCTACTGTTTCAACTGAAAATGTTCCCTATCATCTATTGCCAGAGCCAGTGTGGTATCATGGCTTGAGCACTGGACAACAGTGCTGGAGAGTAGAGTTCAAATGCCCATTCAAGCATGGAAATCCATTGGGTGATCTTGAAAAAATCACCGCTTCTCGGCTTCATTGGAAAGCACTGGCAAATCCCCTCTAAATAAATCTTGGCACAAAAACAAACAAACAAACAAAAATGCTGATAGGGTCACCTTAAGGTTGCTATAATTCGGAAATAACCTGAAGGTACACACAACAAAAACATTTATTGTTAGCTATGTTTATATCTTTGGTTTAAGGACCCCCATTTAATGGTGGTTGACATAAGACTTTTACAGTAATTTACATTTGAAGATAGAATAGCAAAGCAACCTAAATAGCTTCCCCAGCATATAATCATTTTATACTTTTTGATTGTTATTTACAGATTTTGTAGGTATGCACTTTACGGTCCTCCCCCAAAAATTCTGCAGATACCCATATTAATATAATTTGTAGAAAAAGAATAATATCCAGGCTTTTGGAAGAAGTAGTTAGAAACATAAACATGAAATGATAGTACTTAGAATTAATTTTATTCTATGGTAAACACTAAAATACTGAAAATTATACAGTTTTTTTTTAAAAAAATCATAAATTAGGTACAACAAAATCTTCAGGTGAAACTGACTCCATTTAATTGAAATCTATTTCACCATTTGTGTCAAAAGAGTGGAATTTCAACTAAAGTCCTGTACTGGCCAGTCGGTCATTCAAGTGTCATATGCTATGAAGTTCAGAATGTTTCCGTTATGCTTCCTTCAGATCTTTTGACTCCCTTTTCTTTTATTAAGCATGAGAAAGCCCCAATAAAGTGATATTGCACAGATAGAGACAGACATAGCTGGGGAGAAAAGTAAAATGTTTAGTATTAGTACTATATAGATATTTGAAATAACAATACACTTAATGAATTAATTTCTACAATAAAGAGTAATCTATATTCTAACACAGGCCAACTACAAAAAATCTTTTTCTTGGCGTTTTAGTTTTTAGGCCTGTTCCTGGGATTATTTGGGGCACTGGATCAGAAAACTGCATTGGATTGCATCAGCTCTAGTTTTTTAGATATGGTTATAATGATTCTTTAGGGGTGAGTAGATTGTGACTAGTAGATGGCATATATTCTGTATCTCAAAAACTAGATGTAATAGGGAGAAAAAGTTGCCATTTTTGTAATCAGGTCAAATGTACCCAGAAACAGGTCTAACATTTGAGGCACCAAAATGTATGTTGGCCAGTGTAATATTTGTAGAGCTTTCAATTAACTAATTAATCAACTTATTAAGCTATTACTTCACTAATTCTTCCCAGTGAATTCACTAACTTTCGTGTATTTGACAATTAACACTCCCTTGAGTGTTAGATTCATCAAGCACAACAATTTTGCAGTGGATCAATGATTTCTAATTGAAATAAATCACTCCTTGGTACTTTTAACTGCCCCAAACATCATACTATAGTGAAGTAGGCATTTCACGTGGCAGATTTTTTAATGAAATACCTACTCAAGAACACTACATGATATTAAAGCCTACAGTTACCCAAACAGCACAAAAGAAATAGCAATAAAGATAGGACAACCTCTTACCTTAGTGAGCCTTTGTTGCTCCTAGTGTTACATTATGTACAGTAGGCGATGTAAATTCTTCCAATTCAGGGGCATCAAAAAAGTATGCCTGCATTATAGAAGAATACAGGAACTATGAACCTCATGCACAAACCTTCTTTACACTCTGTATTTTTAAAACATTCAATATGTTTCTTATGTAGATAGTAAAGAGGTTTGATTCCCCCCCCCCCCCCAAGATTATTGGGAAAGTACTTGTATAAATGGCGGATATTGGAAAACAAGTAATATGCAAGAGATGAAACAAAAATACATTGTCAATACATATCTGAAAGTTAGCAAAACTAAAATATTCAGGGAAAGATGCCAAACAGCTTAAACATGACAGAGCTTGTGCTATGGGGTGTAAGTATTCCCAGCAAAGTGCTTGGTAGTCTGTTTCTATATTGACTTCTCAACACTTCAACAAGCCGTTAGGTTAATAGGCTACTACTGCCAAGTTAGATACCTATTAAGAAAATTTCCACCACTAGAAAAGTAACATTTTATTTATTGCTGTGACACTTGCCAGCTCTTAACATCTGTAGGATTAACTGTACATGGAAACTCACTGAAGGAAAATTATATATCAAAGAGATAGAAAACTTTGCCATACCAAACAACCGACAGCAAGCAAGGCATGGAGAAGTACAACTGTCACAATTGTAGCTACTGCAATTCTTCGGTTGTCATCTCTAACAGCAGGCCAAAATGTCATTGCTAATACAGATCCTGAAAGACACAGAGCAAATACCACCAAAACCCATCTGAGAGCTTTCTGTGGAATAACCCACAAAATCTGTAATTGAAAAAAAAAGGAGAAAAAGTCCAGTCTTTGCCAGTTCTAATCCAGTAACATTTTATGGCAACATAATACTTGGCTTGTCCTAGATCGTGAACTGGTGATATTGAGCACCATCCACACCTTGGTCAAAGATTGCCCTCCAATACAAGTATATTATTTTTCTGGGTGTTATTTAGTGGAAAAGTGAATAGGCGTATTTATAAACCCTTTCTTTGTGCTTGCAATGGCTGTCCACAATACTTTGCACAGTTATGGATATTGAAATGCATGATCAACATGATCCCTTTCCCTTTTGTGAAGCAGACAAAGGCATTTCAAGTGCACTCTATATAATCTGAGCCTTTTATAAATCAGATTCACAGATATGGAGAAAAATCACAGTAGGCTATCAAACAGCACCCACTTTCAAGAAACTGCCCTTCAAAAACAACAGCTTCTGACTAGCTACTGAGATGAACATAACATGCCTTAAAGCAGTGGTTCTCAACCTGGAGTCCCCAGACGTTTTTGGCCTTCAACTCCCAGAAATCCTAACAGCTGGTAAACTGGCTGGGATTTCTAGGAGTTGTAGGCCAAAAACATCTGGGGGCCCCAGGTTGAGAACCACTGCCTTAAAGAAATAAATGCCATTTATGCATCCAATCTAAGCATGCAATATTTAATGTATTGTCGAAGGCTTTCATGGCCAGAATCACTGGGTTGTTGTAGGTTTTTCGGGCTGTACTAGAAGCATTCTCACCTGACGTTTCGCCTGCATCTATGGCAGGCATCCTCAGAGGTTGTGTGATATTTATTTATTTACAACATTTCTACCTTGCCTTTTTCCACCCTGGGGTGGGAACACTCAAAGTGGCTTACACTTATTTTATGCCTTCCAAAACAATGTACAATTAAAAACATTTAAATAAGATTATAAAATACATTAAAACATATAAAACAATGCCTTCAACTATTAACCACGTTATCCAAAGTCATAGTCTGGGCCATTCCAATAGTCATTGCACATAATTCCATATTTATCTATTTCACAAGATCTCCCAAAAGCCATGATTTTACTTTCTTACGGAAGGTCAGGAGGGAGGGGGCTGCTCTAATATCCCTAGGGAGGGAATTCAACAGCCAAGGGGCCACCACTGATAAGGCCCTGTCTCTTGTCCCCTACAGTCACACCTGCAAAGGAGGCAGGACTGAGAGTAGGGCCTCCCCAGATGATTTACAATCTGAAGAGAAACTAGAGTATAAACCAGATGATCTTAAACTCCGAGGTGGTTCATAGGGAGAAATCCATTCGGACAGGTAAGCTATTCTACAGTTTGAGCCAAACCTCCAAGTAAAGGGTGACAAATCACTATAATTTAAAGGTTATGAAAAATACATGCATTGTCAATATCATATTTAAAATTGCACATAGTATAATTACTCAATTAACCTCCCATTTGGAAAGTGAACAAAACAGGAACGATCTGTTTCTTCTAGACATTCTATAATTTAACATTTGTTCTTAAAAATTACTTATATTGTACTTACCGCTGTTGGAATGTAAACGAAGAGGGAATAGCCATAAACACATACAATCTCAAGAAAGGAGTAGGAGACAATGTTCACAACTTTATTATTCCTCCACATGAGGAATCCCCACAGAGCTAGAGGAACTAGCCAAGCATAAGCATAGATAGCTGTTGCTGCTATGGACACTGTAAAAGAGACAAAATCAAACACTAAAAATCAGGCTATCACATCACAGAAGAGAATCTCAAATGGAGTGTCAATGGATCTCTTACAACTATAGTTTTAATGCAACTTTAAAAAACGTTTTTAGCAATTCAGAGTTATGATATGATGGAACTTATTCAAACGAAGATGAAATCTCTTAACTCTTCTCCGTTGGTTCTGATTAGAAAAAAGTAAATATTAGCAAAATAACTGTTTACTTCAAAATGGCATTCCAAGTCTGCTATAAGCAGGTTGGCATACATATTACACACTGTGTAGCATATATGTGTACAAATAGTAGTAATATGGATATAATTTTTTCTGTGAATTGCTATGAAGCAGGATGAAACATGTTGCTCTTTGACATTGTTCTTAATTATTAATCCTTATGGAAGATTTTGGCATAAGGGACCCACTTTCAAGACCACGGAGGTGTTATTAATCCGAAAATCCCTAAGTGCCCCTAGATAATTGATAAAGCCATGAGCAACAGTAGATTAATGCATGTAACAGTGACGAATTACATGAGAATTATGTCAGCCTGGTCAAAAATACTTTCTTTTAAGGAACCAAGAATTTAAAAGAATTGGAAGCCTCGAGTAGCATATCAAACTTGTCAGATATGATAGGATTTATATTCTTCCACAGGATGAGTTATCAATGGTTGGAGACTTTATTTTCTTTCTTGCCTATCTGACTTTTAATAGAGCCAAACTAGTATGATAGCAGATCTGTCTTTTCCTGCCTGCTAGATAATGACCTCTGTATTCTTTTAAAATAAGGTTCTGTGTTATCCATTTACTTTTGTTTAATATTTGGGCCAACTAAGTAACCTTAAGCAATCAATGTAAAAGAGCAGTTTGGGGCTATATCCTTCATGAGGAATCTATGACAGGCTCTTGCGCTTTTTAGATCCCTGAATTTGAGATGTTGGTTTCTCATTTCATGCCTTTATATCATGAAATCAAATTTTTAATATAAAATTGGTGGATGCATGATTTAACATGACTGCAACATTACTTATTTAATAGAACAAGATACACCCTATGGCAACACATATCCTTCTCTTGAGTTACGCATGTGTTTTGACAGATTATTATTTAGCTTATCTTGGTCCATCGGAGGCTGACCCAACACCTTAGCAAATGTTTGTTTTCACCCATGGAGTGGCTGAAACTGATATAGTAATGTTCCTATTTTGCATCTTTATTATGCTTTGTGTACATGTGTCTATTGACTTATGTCACACCATTAATTTCATAAGAGTTTTTAAGGCAAGGAATACTCAGAGGTGGGTTTGCCAGTTCCTTCCTCTGAAATATAGCATACAGCTTCTTGCGTCTGTTAATATGCCACAAAGTATATGGCACTGAACTCAGATTCAATTGTTAGTGAAGTCAGCTTCTGCATAAGGAACAGAATGGTAGCAGAAGTGCCATTTTGCTTTTCACCTCAGACAACAAAACATGGATTAGCACTGATTACACTATGTAAAAAAAATGACAATTTTTCTGTTTCTGGTTTGAAAGTGTTATTTCCTGTTTAATTGTGTGGTACTTACTTTGAAAGTAGTTGTTATACTCCAGAAACTTCGTTTTTGTGGCTGCCACAAACTATATTGAATTGGTTGAGACTCTACGAGATATTAATTGGAAAACTATAGCAAAATGTGCTGCAGGATGTCCCGCAAAAAACAAAGTTTTTGCAGTTTAATAAACCTTTTCCATGGTTTTATGATAGAACCAATTAGGAAATGAAATTTATAACCCAGAAACAAAAATTGTACTGCATAGTGTTATTTATATTAGATATATTTGGGATAGTTTTACAAACCTTTACGGAACTCAGGCACATAATGGAAAGCTGGTTGTCCCAGATGGATGAAGAATTTTGAAAGATTGCCACTAATAGCAATGACAAAGACCAAGGTGGCACATATCCAGAATGGACCTTTTATCAGAGGAACAAAAGGGCAGAGACAAATTATTCTGATTGATCCATGTGCATTCAGTGTGAAAGACTTCTGCCAATGTTTGCATCTGTACATACCATAAAGATCAGGGTTACTTCTAATGTACAGTCTCACAAAGTTTTTTCCTGGAACTGGAAAAACAGAACCTTTGATTCTGTCCAAGACCTATTTCAAACAGTACAAAAGTACAAGATTCATCTGAAAATAAGTTATTTTAATTACATGAAATATAACATCTATATGAAACATCCAGGCAATTTATTATTTTAGAAACAAGATATGCTTTCACCTTTTGTTCCCAAGGTCAGTTAGGTATCTTCTTAGTTTCCCATTGTATCCAAAAGGAGAAATTATAGTTTAAGGGCACTGTTCAAATCAAGGCATAAACCAGAATCAAATCCTCTTCTCTATGCCTTGGTTTGGAAGGAACCCTTAAGCTAGATATTAAGAAAACAATGACTGAGAAAACAAGTGGCTTCCCTGAATGATAGTGGCAAGAAGGTAGAGGGCTAATGACTCCTGAACCAAGAGCTACCAACTGCTAACGTTTACTAGCCTTTAAAAGGCACATTTGGTTAATTATAATATATAATTCATCTTGTTATAGTGCTTTGTCATGGTCTTGTGTATGTTTTTTAAATTTTCCTCATTGCAGTTTCCTATCACTAAATAATCTCTCTCCTATTCTTACAAACAGCAACCCACATCTCTATCATATTTAACAAAATAAAAACTGGAAAATTTGGTGACTGAACACATACTGCAAGGGAGAAGCATCAACTATCAATAGAGATGATCATTGTTATTCTTTGCAATGGTTATACTTTTCATTTTATTGAAAATTTCATTGTATTGTAAACTTTTATATGATGTACAATTAAGCTGTATCTTTCTTAACCTTTTAAGTCACCTTGAGTGAAAAAGGTGGGATATAAATATAAATGGTATAAATACAAATAAATAACTCAAAGCATAAACAAAATACATCCTTCTGTTTACAAATGGTGGCCAAAAGACTCAATTAATCAGCACAAAGGTTTAGTACTATAGAGACAAAACTGCAGATTACAAACCTGGTATGTATCCACATCAAAAAATGTTTGGTAATACTCAAATGTCCAGAATGGGGCACTTTTCTTCTGCCCAGCAAGCAACTGGAAAACAAGAAAGATTTAAAAATAAATGAAGTTGAGAAAAAATACTTATAAAATATTAACATATTAAATGGCAGACTATTTTACTTTGCACAATATATGGAAAAAGGTTTTGAAAAGATCATGAAAGCATTTTAAATCAAAAGTAATGTTTTCAGCAGTTCTTCCCAATTTATCTAATGTGGTGAACTGGCAGTTTTCCCCACACACAGGCCAAGGACCACTTTCATATACATACAATTTCCTTAGCCAAGCTTCTAATGAAAGATTGGGCATCCTGTGATCAACAACTTTTGGTCAGGGAGCAAAAAAATCACTCCAAATCTGCTAAATCATCCAGGTAGTATCAAAATGTTTGGGAATAAAAAGTGTATTGGATTTCAGATTTTTTTCTCTCAGATATTGGAATACTTGTATTTGCATATATGTACATAATGAGCCCCTGATGGTGCAACGAGTTAAACCGCTAATCTGCAGAACGTGCTGATCGGATGGTTGGTGGGTTGAATCTATGGACGGGGCGAACTCCCGTTGTTCTGCCAACCTAGCAGTTCAAAAACATGCAAATGTGAGATCAATAGGTACCGCTCTAGTGGGAAGGTAACAGTGCTCCATGTAGTCATGCCAGCCACATGACCTAGGAGGTGTCTATGGACAACACTGGCTCTTCGGCTTAGAAATGGAGATGAGCGCTACCTCCCAGAGTTGTACACGACTAGACTGAATTGTCAAGGAGAAACCTTTACCTTTACATAATGAGCTTTCTTCATAATGGGATGCAGGCATAAACACAAAATTCATTTCTGTTTTAGATACACCAAAGATAATTTCTTATATTTTAAAAAATATTGTGTATGAAACTAAATTTATGTACACTGAACTTTCAGAAAGCAAAGGCGTCACTCTCTTGGCCACCCATGTGAAGAATTTTGGATTTGAAGTATTTCAGACTTTGCATCCTGAATAAAGGATGTTCAACCTGTACTGCTTGTTACATGGATATTGTTGTCTGCCTTCAAGTTGTATTCAACTTACAGCTATTAGTATATTTTAATTCATATTTGGAAAGAAGTATTGAGCAGTTGTATTTCTCTCAGCATGACAGGGGAGTCAAATGGTACATATTAAGAGGAAAGGCTATTGCCACTGGACAAATTTTCTGGTGCCCATAAACCTCAATAAAATATTTAGATATATATTATAGTGTTATAAAGAGAATGCAAATAGGCCATAAAACATTTCTCATGAGGCTTATTTTGAATTTCATTATTTCTCTTCAGCATGTATTTAAACACAAGTACCCCACAAAGCATTTATGCACTGATTGATTGCAGATACATCAATGATTGTAAATACACAGCTGCTTATAGATTGGTTCAGTGTTCGTGGCTAATAAAATATAGGAGTGACTAGAAAGGCTCCCTGCTTGAGATATCTTCAGATTCTGTTCATATAAGTGATCTATCCGCCTCTTAAACTTGACATTAGAACCACTTTTTGGAGTCTGGCCTATGGTAACTCTGTTCTGTGGATGACTACCCTGAAGAGTGTCTGCTATTATTTAATGTCTTGTTTTTGATGAATTTGTTTTAATTCTTTTATGACTGTGATGGCACCGGTGGTGCTTGCTGTGAGGCCGCCCTGAGTCTCCCCTTGGGGGTGAGAAGGGTGGGGTACAAATGCAGGAGATAAATAAATAAATAACATAGTTGATATGGATTAATACTGTCAAAAACTCTTGAATTGTCATCTAACCTCAGTTTTATCTGAATCATCCGTTCCCAATAGCTCATCATCTTCCTCTCTTCCAGAATCTTGCAAATGTCCATGCTTTTTCTTTGGTTTCTCGGGTTCATCAATGCTTATTGTGACAGCATCGGGATTTGCCGCCAACAAGTTGGCGGCATCATCAAATTCTAAAAAATAAAATGCCAACACAAAAATGTTATCTTTACATAAATACAATTGCACAGAATAAGTAGGATTCCTGCATCATTTTTGTAATACTTCTAGAAGTCTAAAATTCGATAGATAGAGACCTAGGTAGCGATGGCATTCATTTGAGTGCACTAACTTCTCCTTATGCAGTTGTGTCACACTGACCTGCTTTCTCCTATTAAACTCCGAATTAGCAAGTAATTTAGCTTCCTGGATTCAACCCTTAGGATTGAAAGGCTATTTGAACTAGTATATACCTTCTTTATTAATTATTTATTTATTTGGAACATTTGTACCCCATCTTTTCTTGACCTCCAAAACGGGACTCAGGGCGGCTACCAACAGGCAACAATTTGATGCCAAAACGATAAAACACATAATAAAATACAATCCGTACATAAAAACAATATAAATATAAATATAGATTAAAACAGTTCAACATCTTAAAAACCTAAGGGACAACATCATAAAAAACAACAGCAAGAAACATGATGCAGGAAACAAAATATATTGCAGTACTTCTTTCAGGGTGCATCTACACTGTAGAATTAATACAGTTTGACACTATTTTAACTGCCATGGTTCAATGCTATGGAATTGTGGGAGTTGTAATCTGGCAAGGCATCAGCACCAAGGAGGCTAAAGACCTTGTGAAACTACAACTCCCATGATACCAAAGTATAAATTCTACAGTGTAGATGCACCTACTATTGAAAAAGGAAGGGTAAATTTAAATATATTTTGAGGAGCCTCTAAAACCAAGTGTTTTTTTAAAAGAGGGAAAATATTTAACCACAGAAGGAAATTTGCACTTAATCTCAACGTTGACAATACTGCTTTCAGAAAACAAATTCAAAAATATCAGTTAACACAAACTCTGTGAACTATGAACTAGACTTTACTAATAATGAAAGAACATGATTAAACCCAATGAGAAAACCACAAACCAATCTGGTGCTTTAGAAGTGTACTTCTACACATTACCTTGAAACTTTAGGTCATCCACAGTTGCCATTCATGCAGCAATGTTTGATGAAGCAGTTCAAAACTGGGAAAAATGGCTGAAAAATATAAAGCAGATACCTACAAAGTGAGATTTAAAGATCAAACAAATATCAACATATTGGTGAAGCCAGCTCCTTGACTGACTGACTGACTGAATAAATAAATGATAAAATCTTATATTCACACTGAAACCCAAACATGAATTGCCTTTAGACTGGAAGAGGCATTGTTCTGGTTTCTGAACATGAGTCAACAATGCAATGTGGCAACGAAAAAAGTCAATGTGATTCTAGGCTGCATCAATACAAATATAGCATCTAGGGAAGCCCTAGTCCTATTCTGTGTTGGTTAGACCTCACCTGAAATACTGTGTCCAGTTCTAGGCACCACAATTCAAGAGGGATACTGACAAACTAGAACAAGTCCAGTGGAGGGCAACTAAAATGATCAAAGGTCTGGAAGAGAAGCCCTGTGAGGAAAAGCTTAAAGAGCTGTTTAGCCTGCAAAAAAGAAGGCTGAAAGAAGACATGATAGCCATGTTTAAATATTTGAGATGATGTCATATTGAGGAGGGGGCAAGTTTGTTTTCGACTGCTCTGGAGACTAAGACATGGAGCGATGGATTCAAATTGCGGCAAAACAGATTCCACCTAAACATTAGGAAAAACTTCCTGATGGTAAGAGCTGCCTCCTTGGAGTGTGATGGAGTCTCTTTCTCTGGAGGTTTTTAAGCAGAGGTTGGATGGCCATCTGCTAGGGGTGCATTGATAGCGTCTTCTTGCATTGCAGAATAGGGTTGGACTAAATGGCTCTTGGGGTCTCTCTGAAGTTTATGATTCTACAATTCTGCCATAAGCCATCAGGACCAGGGTTCAAATCTCCACTCTGCCATTAAATCCACTGAGCAAGTCACACTCTCTTAGCCTAAAAGGAAGTCAATGGCAAATCTTTTGAGCAAGCTTTGCTTAGAAAACTATGTGACAGATTCAGCTTAGGGTTGCCATGGGTCAGAAATTACTTGAAGGCAAACAACAATTGGAGCTGTTAAGAGGTGACACTGCCTACCTCTGGGAAATAATACAACATCAAACCACAAAGCTAACAAACCTGCTACCATTCATCTTTCTGAAAAGGAACATTAGCACAGTGTTTGCTTTGCCACTCCCTCCCAGGAAGAATACTCAGCTCGATGCAGAAATTATGACCTAGTGTTTATGAGAGTAACAATAAAATCCTAAACAGGAGAGAAAGATAATTTGAATGCCACAGGATCCTTTCTCCCACATTAAATTAAAATTCAGCGAGTGATGCAGAGCAAGCAGAGCAATGCACCACAAAAGTCTAATTTGGGGACAGCATTCTACACAGCACAGCAACTCATTTTAAATCCCTATTTTGTCATAAGAGAAATCCTATTGAAATCAAAGCATGTATTTATTTATTTATTTATTTATTTTGGATACTTTTACCCCACCCTTCTCAACCCCCGAAGGAGGACTCAGGGCGGCTTACAGAAAAGGCACGATTCAATGCCTATACAAAGTTACACACAATATACAAAACCATAATTAAAACAGTTATCACAGTTAAAACCATCAACAACACATCATATAAAACATCATATAAAACATCATGTAAACATCATATGTACTAAAAGTGAGTGAAGAGAGAAAATCTTTCCTGAATTCGAAATGCACACAGCCATAACAGCTTCTAATTCAAGAACTGATTTTTGTTTTATAATAAGAATAAGAATAATTTTAAAATGACAGAATGAAAATATGTTTTTAAATTATATGTTTTTATATTGCATAGTTTCCAGGGCTGTGACCAATTTGGATCCCAGTCCTGGAAAAGTAACAACAACAACACCTTTATTAATGACTTAAATGAAGAGTTAGAAGGCACAATAATCAAATTTGGAGATGACATCAAATCAGGAGGGATAGCCAATACTCCAGAAGACAGGAGCAGAATTCAAAATGATCTTAATAGATTAGAGAGATGATTGGCCAAAACTAACAAAATGAAGTTCAACAGGGACAAATACAAGATACTCCACTTAGGCAGAAAAAAATGACATGCAAAGATATAGAATGGGGGATGCCTGGCTCGACAGCAGTATGACTGAAAAAGATCTTGAGAGTCCTTGTGGACCACAAGTTAAACATGAGCCAAAAATGTGATGCAGTGGCTGAAAAAGCCAATGGGCTTTTGGCCTGCATCAATAGGAGTATAGTGTCTAGATCCAGGTAAGTCGTACTATCCCTCTATTCTGCCTTGGCCAGACCACACCTGGAATACTGTGTCCAATTCTGGACACTTCAGTTTAAGGGAGATATTGACAAGTTGGAATGTCTCCAGAGGAAGGCAACTAAAATAATCAAGGGTTTGGAGAACAAGCCCTATGAGTAGCGGCTTAAAGAGCTGGGCATGTTTAACCTGCAGAAGAGAAGGCTGAGAGGAGACATGATGAGGGGAAGTCATAGAGAGGAAGCAAGTTTGTTTTCTGCTGCGCTGGAGACCAGGACACGGAACAATGGCTTCAAACTACAGGAAAGGAGATTAGGAAGAGCTTTCTAACCTGAACATTAGGAAGAACTTCCTAACTGTGAGAGCCGTTCAGCAGTGGAACTTTCTGTTCCGGAGTGTGGTGGAAGCTCCTTCTTTGGAGGCTTTCAAACAGAGGCTGGATGGCCATCTGTCGGGGGTGCTTTGAATGTGATTTTCCTGCTCAAGGGGGCTTACATATGGAGTTGGACTGGATGGCCCACGAATTCTCTTCCAACTATGATTCTATGAACGTGTACCCCAATTTTCTCCAAAGTACACCACAGCCTTACATTATTTATTTATTATCCTTATTCATACCCTTTTGAGCTGCTTTTGAGCTGTGGTGCTGGAGGAAAGTGCTGAGAGTGCCTTGAACTGCGAGAAGATCTAACCAGTTCATCCTCCAGGAAATAAAGCCTGACTGCTCATTGGAGGGAAGGATACTAGAGACAAAGTTGAAGTACTTTGGCCACATCATGAGGAGACAGCAAAGCCTGGAGAAGACAATTATGCTGGGGAAGGTGGAAGGTAAAAGGAAGAGGGGCCGACCAAGGGCAAGATGGATGGATGGTATCCTTGAAGTGACTGGACTGACCTTGAAGGAGCTGGGGGTGGTGACGGCTGACAGGGAGCTCTGGCGTGGGCTCGTCCATGAGGTCACGAAGAGTCGGAGACGACTGAACGAATGAACAACAACAATTCATACCCTGCCTTTCTCTACCCCGAAGGGGACTCAAGGAGGCTTACATATGGCAGTTATTCAATCCTTGGAACATATACAAACATTAAGCTTAAAGTCAATTGAATTAAAATACACACTAAACATTTAAAAGCATTACATTCAGTGTTAAATCATGCCATCCAAAAATCATAATCAAAGGCCGTTCCGTTATCATTGCACATATTCCAGTTTGTTATTGCACTGCGGTATTCTTCTAATGCCTGATCCCAGAGTCAGGTTTTTACTTTCCTGCTAAAGGCTAGGTGGGAGGGGGGAGGGAGGCTGAGAGGGAGTTCCACAGCTGAGGGGCTACCACTGAGAATGTCCTGTCTCTCATCCCCACCAGACGAGCTTATGAGGATGGTGGGACACGTAACAGGGGCTCCCCAGACGATCTTAATTTCCAAGGTGGTTCATGGGGAAGATACATTTGGACAGGTAAGCTGGGCTGGAACCATTTAGGGCTTTATAGGCTAAAGACTGCACTTTAAATTGTGCTTGGAAGCAGACCAGCAGCCAGTGGAGCTGACGTAACAGAGGGGTTGTATGCTCCCTGTACGCCGCTCTGGTGAGCAACCTGGCTGCTGCCCATTGGACCAGTTGAAGCTTCTGAACAGTCTTCAAAGGCATGGATCACTGTGCCAGGCCCGTAGCCAGGATTTCGTTTCGGGGGGGGGGGGCTAAAAAAATTTCAGGGGGGGTTTCGGGGGGGGCTGAGTTTCAGGGGGGGCTGAGTCTGAGTGAAAGAGGGTCTACCCTAGCAAACCTTTTGTATCGTTACCCCAATACCCCCATGCATATGGGATATATTGAGTATGGTGATCAGATCATGATATGAATAAACATAACAGTTTAAATAATGCACCAGTAAGGCCTTTTCGCGAACCACCATGAAAAGTTCGGGGGGGGGGGGCTGAAGCCCCCCGAGGCCCCCCCCCCCCCCGCTACATCCCTGGTTGTGTCCTGGCCAAAAACCATACAATCAAAAACATACAGAACATAAATATTGCAATTATCAGAACAAAATTATGCAACTTTAACATTATTTAAAATTCCAAATAGAGAAGCATCACAAAACTGCAGGAGAAACTTGAAGAGAGATTTGCAACTTTGGAATTTGACCTCAAGAGCAATGCACAGGGATGCCTTTTTTGAACCCCATACCATCTAATTGTAATTGAAGATGGAATTTGGAATGAAAGCATTATTACAACACTTTATCCTTCAATATAAATGTCTTTATTTCGACATCAAATAATGACAACTAATATTAGCTAACAAAAGATGCAGACATTTCTAAGGGGCATATTCCAAGCAGGTGATTAAGGACATCACGGAAAAATGGATTTGCATGAAAGGACAAGGCATCTACACTGTAGAATTGATGCAGTTTGATACCACTTTAGCTGCCATGGCTCAATGGAATGGAATTCAGAGAGTTCTAAACATACAAGGTCTTTATTATCTCTCTAAAAGTGTTGGTGACTCATCAAACACTCAGGATTCCGTAGCACTGAGCCATGGCGGTTAAAGTGGGGTCAAACTGCATTAATTCTACAGTACAGATGCACCCAAGGAGCCTGACCCTTATGGTATGAACCCAGCATCATCCTGCCTGCACACAAAGCACAAATGATGTCATTTGAAAGGGATCTACCCGCTAGGGAGTCGATTGGGGAGTGTGCTTCCACCTAAACACGGGTTTATATGAACGTGTGAGCCCCCCCCCTCCCCCTGAAGTCTAGGCCCGGCACAAATCCCCCTCCGCCAGGCGGCGCCATCACTACCTGTCAGCCGTAAAGCGAGGACGTACGGGAAGGCCTCTGTTGCCGGAAAAGGACTTTCCCAGCTCTGTTCCTTAAAGTGAAAGAAGCCTTATATAGGTTCGCGTCTAAGTCCCGCCTCCCTCGGCCCCGCCTTTTAAAGAGACAGGGCGCAATTTCGCCTCCAGGTTGTTCAATAGCACGTGGGCCGGCAGGGAGCCGGCAATGACTCTGATCCCATCTACCCTGCAGACTTCATTCAGTTTGACACCACTTTTAACGACCGTGGTTGAATGCTATGGAATCCTGAGAGTGCTGAGGCTCCCGCACTCTTTGGCTCTAGGGTAGGACTGGGCAGACTTGGGCCCTCCAGCTGTTTTGGCCTTCAACGCCCACCGTTCCTCACAGCCTCAGGCCCCTTCCTTTTCCCCCTCAGCCGCTTAGACTGAGGTCCTGGTTGGTGCGTTTCGAAATACGTCACCGTGCTCCCGGGCTCCTATTGGTCGAGCGGCAAGGCCTGCCGGGATCGCATCCGGGGGGCGTCTCCGGCCCCATTCCGCCTTCTGCCCGGGAAAAGGATGCTTTATTCCACGCGGGAACGGCTAAACGTATGTATGGCCTGGTGGTTGTACTAGAGACACGTGTACAGCTCAGTCACGTCTGAATGCTGGACAAATACCTGTGAGACACGTGTTCATAAGAGCCACAGGGGACACCCGCCTTATAGAACATAAGTATGTGATCTGGCACCACTTGAACTGTCATGGCCCAATGCTATGGGAATCTGGGAGTTGTCGTTTGGGGACCTTGTAGAACTGCAGCTCCCTTGACTCCATAGGAATGAGCCATGGCAGTCAAAGTGGTGTCAGGCTGCATTCATTCTACAGTCTATGTAGGTACAGCTAATAATAATAATAATAATTAAAAAAAACTTTATTTATACCCTGTCACCATCTCCCCAAGGGGACTCAGGGCGGCTTACGTGAGGCCAAGCCCAGCAATACAACAATGCAAATCTATATAAATAAAAATGCCACGTTTGTTTGTGGGATTAACATAACTCAAAAACCACTGGACAAACTGACATGAAATTTGGACAAAATACATTGATTAGGCCAACGAGTGACCATCACTCATAAACACACTGAAAAACACAACAGAAGAGACTTAAAAGGGAAAAAGATGCTACAGTGCATGCGCAAACCCACACATATATATACGCAAACACACACATATATACAAATATACACACACAAAACACATATACACAGACTGGGCCACAGCAACGCATGGCAGGGGACGGCTAGTATACAACATAAGAATACAATAGTAAAATATAAGAAAATAAAATACAAGAAACAATATAAATAAACATATTAAACAATATAAAATCACAATATTTGAACACAGAAAATAGATCACATTAGGCAGGGCCGGTTGCAAAAATTAAAAGTTTAAAAACACTGGGTGAGAGAGCAATGTAATGTATCTGGACAGGGGATACGAGGGACGAAGTAGGGTTTAATTGCGCTACCAGGTAAACTAAAGTGCTTCAGAGGGCTTTATATGCAGGGTTTGGTCAGGTCAGGTCAGGGTTTATTGTTCATTCATTCATTAAAGGTGCACTGGAACAGCCAAGTTTTCAAGCTACGAGTATGTATGAGCTCGAGAACCTGTTGCATTGAAGGTTGTGCATTGTTCACAGTGTCCTGTGTCTTTAAGATAATATATTGTCTATGGGAGCATTTCTCAACCTGGGGGTCGGGACCCCTGGGGGTGTCAGTGGGGTCCCCAGAGACCATCAGGAAACACAGTATTTTCTGTTGGTCATGGGGATTCTGTGTGGGAAGTTTGGCCCAATTCTATCGTTGGTGGGGTTCAGAATGCTCTTTGATTGTAGGTGAACTATAAATCCCAGCAACTGCAACTCCCAAATGTCAAGGTCTATTTTCCCCAAACTCCACCAGTGTTCACATTTGGGCGTATTGAGTATTCGTGCCAAGTTTGGTCCAGATCCATCATTGTTTGAGTCTACAGTGCTCTCTGGATGTAGGTGAACTACAACTCCCAAACTCAAGGTCAGTGCCCACCAAACCCTTCCAGTATGCCAACAGAAAGATTGACAGTTCGAAGCCATTTCAGGGTGAGCTCCTGACCTTCAGCTCCCAGATCCCCACCCACCTTGGGGATCGAAAACAGCAATGTGTGTAGATAAATAGGAAGTGCATTAAGCATGGAGGTATTTTAGGCACGATGTTTTGAAGGAAAGTTTACAAACAAAAAAAAGCTTTTCGGCAAAGAGATGGAGCGACAAACCCCCTGTGGCCAGAACCGAGCACAGCCTCCAAAGATGCTGAATGTTGAGAAAAAGGCTGTATATACCTTTATATGTTGTCTGTCTTGTCATTGTACAGTATAATTGGCATTGAATGTTTGCCGCATATGTGTCCTGTGATCCGCCCTGTGAGAAAGGCGGAATATAAGTACTGTCAACAAATAAATAATTATAAGAGCATTTCTCCTTCATAATAATAATAAATCTTTATTTATGTTCAGCTTTTCTCCCTAAATGGAACCCAGAGCTGCTCACAACTTTTTAAAATCAATACAAATAACTCATACATATCATATAAAACCAACTATAAAATAAAACATAAATAAACATTTGAAAATCATTCAACAGATACAATTGTTGCGGGAATTCGTCAGTTCAGATAACAATTAGCCTTCTCTAACAGAGCGCTGGTGCCTCACCAAATTACAATTTCCATGATTCCATAGCATTGAGCCATGGCAGTTAAAGTGGCCTCAAACTATTAATTCTAGAGTGTAGATTCATCCAAAGGAAAGGGCTTTTTAAAGTTTCTGTTTTTTCCCCTAGATCTTGGGATGGAGAGCCGCTTCAACTATTGTTTGGTCTCTGCTTCTGCTTCCTCTCTGTGTTGCTGTCTTCGTCACCATCAGCAGTATTGACCTTCTCCACCCTATACAATGGATCACAAGTATGTACTACACCCTGTATGAGAAATTCAAATGCTTCTCCATTTATGTTGCATGTTCATCAAAGTGTACATTGCCTTGGTAATTCTTAATAACAGCCCAATAAAGGGATGAGAGAGAAGGAATGGCTTGATTAAAGACTGTTCAGTGACCATCTACATATGTCTTGCTAGACCAGACTTCTTTAGTCTGGTGTGATCCAGCTGTGTCCCAACAAGAATAAACTATGACTGAGTTTGTTCAGATAATGGGAGTTGCAGTCCAATACTTGGAGAAGTCTGTGCTAAATCATGGTGAGATTGATAAGTATGAGCTGGTTCTTGGTTTGTGTGCTCTCCTCTCTCCCTTCTAATAGCACCGCTATATAATATTTTCTGAAAAATAATTTCATTGTTATTTACCATCAAGTGGGCTTTGATTTATCATGCCCCTATAAATAAAACACCTCAAAGAGCCCAAAAAGATATAGACTTTGCAAAACCACAACTCTCATGACTTCGTTGCATTGAGCCACAACAGTCAAAGTGGTGTCACACTGCATTAATTCTGCAGTGTAAATGAGTCTGTTGTTTTATGGTATCTCCAGAGTGTGATAGAGAGAGGTCAGGCTTCATTTGCTCTTGGAACCATTTATTTACCTTTCTGTCAATCCATATTATCTAGAATTTTCGTACAGCACCGCATTTTCAAATGTTAATTTTCTCCTTACGACTTTCTATTTTAGATTCATTCAATGACTTATATACCTCCTATGTGTTCTTTTGCATACTACTGATGTCTGTGGTGATCGTGGTAATAAATATCTTCAATGTTGAATTTCATGCAGGTGAGTTGAACTGAATGTACTGATAGCTTTCTCTGAGACTATTGCTTTATGCTGAATTGTGTTTCAACTCTGCTTTAGGTCTGCTTTATTTCACTGTGTAACAATAAACTTGGCCTTTATTATATTTTTAAACTCTTTTTTCATAAATATTTTCATAAATATTAAATAACTCAGAGCTGCCCATAAATCCAAATTTTTATCTCATTTCACATTGTCCTCTATCTGTCCCTTTTAAGATGCTTAGGATGCTTGGAAAACCATCATATCTTCTTTGAGGAAAACTTCCTAGAATATTTTGTACTCTTGTAAACATAAATCAGAGAAAGATGGTTGGAAAGCGATGTTTCAAAGGTGACTAAATCGAGACTTTTTTGCCTTGATTTGGGGCAGGTAGTGCCTAATGCTGTTTTCCTTATGTTGCAGTGGTGCCTTCCATTCCTTGCTTTCGATTGGCATTGATCAGTAAGATTATCCACCCGCAGCAGGTGATCCATTCAGTTGCTCACGCTGTCATGGGGATGCTGGTGGCTTGGTGTGCTGCCATTATGACGAAAGGGAAGTTTCTGCTTCTGTCTGTACCCTGCACAAAAACAGAAAGGTGGGTTCTTGGTGGTTAGAGTGCTATTTTTACAAACATCACTTCTTGTGAAAATAAATATAAAAATACTCTCAAATGATAGATGTTTTTTCCCCCAAACGTGACTTGTTTCAAATATAGACAGGAGGCAAATAATGATCTGGCAACCCAACTTTTTTTAATCTTGAGGAAGTATTATATATACTTGTGTATAAGTCGAGGGCAAGTTTTGGGTCCAAACTTATGGATTTTGATATGACCCATGGAAAATCTGAGGATCGATCTGTAGAGAGAAGAAAGTGCAAGTCCTGACTCAGGGAGGCAGCGGCTACCATCAGCATTTTCTCACCCAGGCATTCAAAAAAAAGGCCAGTATTCAAAGTTCAGGCATTAAAAAAAGACCTGTATTCAAATTTGGGCATATCATGTATTTGTGCCAAATTTGGTCCAGTGACTGAAAATACATCCTGCATGTCAGATATTTACATTATGATTCATAACAGTAGCAAAATGACAGTTATGAAGTAGCAACAAAAATAATTTTATGGTTGGGGGTCATCACAACATGAGGAACTGTATAAAGGGGCCGCGGCATTAGGAAGGTTGAGAAACACTGATCTAAGAGATACAATGGGTCTTTGGTATCCACTGCGGTTCGGGGCCAGGAATCCATGGATGTTAAACTCCCTTTATTTATTTAAAACTTTTATATCCCGATCTTCTCTACCTCCGTAGAGAAACTCAGACTGAGAGCAAGGATTCAATGCTAACAGTAAAAATCTAAAACATCATACATCGACAGTAAATTAAAAAATACATATAAGATAAATTACATAAAAGTCATTTGCCAAGATAAAACATGTCCAACTCAGTCCGTATATTCAGTCTATATATTGTGGTCAATAACTTTGGTCGATTACTGGTCTCAACCATAATTCTGCAAAGACCTCGTTTCACAGCCAGGTTTTCACTAGCTTCCTAAAGGTCAGGAGGGAGGGGGCAGATCTAATTCCATTCATTATATGCATTATAAGGCATCCCTTATATAAACCAACAAAGTTTGCTTTTGGGATTTTTTGTTCTGATTATTTTCATTCCTAGGTGGTTGAATCAGTGGCAGCAGAATCCATGGATATGATCATTTTTCCTGCATCAAGCAGAGATGGAGGAAATTACTTCCTGTTGCTTCAGTTTCCCCATACTCTTGGATAGCTGTGTTAATTTGTTTATGATCACTGTAAAAAATAGATTGCTTTAGCATTAAAATGTGCAAACAACTTTCGTAGGATTTGTTCCATTTTTTAAAAACTCAAAAGTCTAAGGATAAGGCTGAGTTGTGGTGTGTGTGTGTATATATATATATATATATATATATATATATATATATATATTCTTGCGGAATTAAATTAATTAAAGGAACTATTTTTTGCTCTAGTGCCCCTGATGCTGATCTGCATATGTGTCTGAATGAATACCACCTCTTTCTCTTGCTCCTTGGTGCTTTTATGGGTTACAGCTACAGCTTCCGGTATCTTGTCAACCATTTGAATTACCTTCCATTCCCAGTCATACAGGTAGGTGCAGAAAGGTCAGCGGGAATGTTGTTTATGTGTTGGGTAAGATGGATTATTCTTTCTTTTGCCTTTCCCCTAATTACTGCTTGCAGATGTGGAGTGGAGGGAAGAACCTTAACAGCAAGTTGAGTTCAGGAAGGATTATTTCATAAGCAATGCCTCACATGTAATAGATTAGATCTACAGAATGGCCTGTGAGACACTGGGTGATGCTTTCACAAAATTCTCCCTGGTGCTATAAGATCTTTTAAAAATGTTTTTGGATCACTGGCATTCTTTGTCAGTTTTAATTTTAATATTAGATGCTGCTTCTTTTCCCCGCTACTGGCTTGATCTATTTATTATGTACTCTCTCTTGTACATGGTTAGTATTCTATGTTTTTAATGTTTTCTTACAATGCCTAAATACTTCTGTTGCTGATCAGTTTAAAAATGCTGATGTATAATAAATAATAATTATTTATATAATAAATAATACATAAATAAAATTCTGAGAACCATGAGTAGATAAAAACTTGCCGAAACTCACATTCTTCCCAGCATACAACTCAACAATTCTTGGATTTACTTGCTCCCTTTTATAGTTACTATAATACTTAGAAATGCAGAAATAAGCCAAGGTTACCTTATTAGCTTTGTTGGGAGATTCAGTGCAGGTGATATCTCGGAAATGAATTCTAATTTAAAATGAGGCCACCCTTCCAAATCACAAGTGCTATGTGGATATGTTTTTGAAACTCTTTCTTCAAACATTTGTACCATCTTTTTCAGCAATACAAATTCCTGCGCTTCAGACGATCCCTTCCCCTCCTGGCAAAGCATAGTTGTGTGGAGTCACTTTATATGGTTAGGAACTTCTGTGTGGTCTACTGGATATTTGGTAAGATTTCCCTTGCTCACTTTTCTGTAAACAATCCTAAGGTTGAGATCTCTTCCAAAGTAAAATACGCGTTGCTTTCCAGAAACTTCTGGGTGACTAATCTAAGAAGAAAGTGGTCTGGAGTACAGAAATGGCAAAATGGTTCTTCCTTTAGACATCCTGCCATGTGAGATAACTAATGTTTAGTAGTATTGAGCTCAAAGAAAGAAATGATAAGCACATATGAAAAGTCAAAGCAAATCAGGAGATAAAGTTCCACATGCTGATAGTTATTTTGTATTGTTTGTATTAAGCATGAAGTCTGCTGAAAAATGTGTCCAGTGGGTTCTTAGGATCTCTTATGTATCTTTCAGTCTCTACTGCTGCTGTTTTTCTGTGGTTGCCCATAATTGTTTGTAACTTGGGGACTGCCTGTAATCCCAGGAGCAGACCTAAAAACCAAGACACCAATATATATATCTTTGTTGGGCTGTGTAACATAAGGGGAATAATAATAACAATAAACTTTATTTATATTCCACCCTCTCTCCCTGAGGGGACTCAGAGATATGCTCTCCAAGTAGAGCACATTGGAACAGATGTAATGTGGATTGAACAATAGTTTTTTAGGAGGGTGTTCTTATACTGGATTGATTCAGACTTAGTCATGTTTACAGTGGACTTGTTGAAATCAATGGACAAATTAGTCATGGCTAATTCAAATCCCAGGGATTTCAGTGGACTTACTCTAAACATATCTGGATCAAACATAGTAACTGGAACAGGGACTGACTAGCATGGAAGGGCTTTTAGCTTGAGGTGACTATGTGTCATTAGACTGGGTATTCACGGAATATGATGACGTTGACTATTATCATTGTTATATAAACAGTTATGTTAACATAGAATAAAATAAATTTAATCTCAAATTCCCAGATTTCCCCCCCAAAAGGTTATTAAATATAATATATTTTTACAAGGAAAATTATTCTTTAAAGATCAAAAAGTATTATATGCCTGTTTTTATACAGCTTGATTTTTCTGTTTGTGGTACTTTAGGTTCTATTCCAAGGACGTGGATAATTACCACAATGAACCTTCAAACTGATAGGTTAGTATCTGAAAATGTTACTGTTATTTTTCTTTCTTAATTAACAGTGTGTGAGTAAAAGAGGTATTTCTAGTCATTTTACAGGTTGCAAAAAATATTGATGTGGTTTGTTGGGCTTAGGCAATGGAAATTCTTAGATATTAACACCAATTCTAAATTTAATGGAGCTTCAAGTCAAACAAGCTGATGGAAATGCTATTTATACACCTTCTACACCAGTCTGAGTTTGTCTTTTATTGCATGTTTCTAGACTCTCCTTTAAGTACCATCATAGACTGCATCTACACTATAAAACTAATGCAGCTTGATGTCACTTTAATGGCCATGGGTCAATGCTCTTGAATCCTGGGATTTGAAGTTTGGTTGTGCACCAGTACTCTGATTCCACAGCATTGAGCCTTGTCTGTTAAAGTGTCTGTCAAACTGCATTAATTCCACAGTGTAGATGCACCTTGTTTTAATATAGCTATTGTTTCTAGCTTTGTATTAGAAAAAATAAATTTGTACTAAGGTATGTGTTACAGAAAACCTTTCCCCTCAATTGTGTTTCTTTGTTTTGTTTTAGGAAACTTCCTCTTCTTAACACAGTAGGCGGCCTCCTGGATTTGTCCCTTTTGTACCACAGCTGGCTGTGTGGCCTGTTTCTTCTGATGACGTGGTACCTTGCCTGGCTGCTTTTCAGAATCTTTGCCACCGAGGTGGGTGCCAGACATCATATACTGGCCTTCCCCAGCCCAACACCCTTTGGATGTATTAGATTAGAGATCCTTAAACTAGTTCCACTCATGATTCCATTCCATCTGAATTTTTTTTTACATGACTGGAAGTATATATATGTATAAAATAGGTATATAAATCAAATATTGATTGATGATAAATCAGCATTTGCAAATGCTCCTTTCTGAAGCATTTTCTGCAAAGTCCATTGTAAACACCACACATTGTTGCTAACAGGTTTGTGTAAATGGGTAGCGTTCAGAAACTTTTTACAGTTGCCAAATATTTATTGCAACGCACTCTACGTAGGGTTGCCTCTGAAGACTGTTTGGAAGCTTCAGCTAGTCCAATGCTTGGCAGCCAGGTTGCTCACAGGAACGGAATATCGAGAGTGCACAATGCACTTGCTACTCCAGCTCCACTGGCTGCCTATTAGCTTCCGAGCATTATTCAAAGTGCTAGCGTTGGCCTATAAAGCCCTTGACGGTTCTGAACCAGTTTACCTGTATCTCCCACTATGAACCACCTAGGACCTTAAGATTGTCCGGGGAGGCCCTGCTCGTTGTCCCCCCATCATCGCAATTGCGGTTGGTGGGGACAAGAGACAGGGCCTTATCTGTGGTGGCCCCTTGGCTATGGAACTCCCTCCTAAGTGAAATCAGATCTGCTCCTTCCTTCCTGGCCTTCCGGAAAAGGTGAAATCCTAGCTGTGTGATCAGTCCTGTATGGACTAGACCGACGTGATGGTAGGGCTATGGTTTAATGGACTCTGATGGATTCGAATGGACTGTGTGTAGGATGACGATTTAATTCTGGCGATTGTTCTAATGTTTTACGTTTTTAATTATGTTTTTATAATGTTTTATACTGTTTTTACCTAAGATGTATATTTATGTTTTTGTTGTCAGCTGCCCTGAGTCCCTCTGCGGAGGTCGAGATAGGACGGGATATAAATGTCCAAAATAAATAAATAAATAAATAAATAAATTTTGTGGCACCAACATTGAACTAAGGCACATGTGTGAAACTCAAGGCCCCTGGGCCAAATCTGGCCCTCCATGTCATTTTGTGTGGCCCTCCAGATACTGGGCTACAACTCCTGTATTCATGACTAGAGCTGATGGGAGTTGTGATACAGTAACATTTGAAAGGCCACAGTTTGTTCTGATTAGTCAGGAGAATGGGGTTTGGATTCACATACAAGGCTTGCGGATATGGTGTCTGATGTTAAAATGTCATTTGACCTTTCTCCAACTTCAGAGCCACAAATGCTGTTGGATTACGATTCCCATTATCTCCAGTCTGAATGGTGGATAGTCAAAAGTGACAAGGGTTATTATTCAGTAACATCAGGGGACACAAATTGGGTAAAAACTAAAGAGCACAAACTACTATGTAAATCTGTTATAGTTGGCCCTCTATCCATTCTCCATCCATGGATTCAATGTCTTTTTGAAGGCAACCTTAAGGCTCATGTGGCCCTCGGTGAAAATGAGTTTGATACCCCAAACTAAAGTGACCGCATTTGAGGTCAGGATCCACAGTTTAAGAAGCAGTGTTAGACTACTAATCCCTTCATCCCTTGTAGGGTGCCATCTTGGGGGAAAATGTCCAGTGCTGTGTGGTTGGAGGGTCTCTGCTGCTATTATAGTGTTTGTCTTTAGAAGAACATGGAAAATATGTTCTCTTATTAAAATGCAGCAGAAAACATTGCGCTAAGGTTCATCTGTTTCCCATTGAAGAATTCATCCTTCCTTCTTTGCTATCAAGCCTGGCTGACTGCACATTACCTTGATTGCAAATTATGTGATTATATTTTAGTGTTAATGGATGAAGGTGGTTTCTCATGCTTGCTGTAGCTCCAGTGTGTGTATGTTTCGTTTTTAGGCCCATCACTTTCCTGTTCAGGCAACTTTTACTGAAGAAGCAGACCAGTGTTTACCTAAAATCCTAAACAGCAACCCTCCCTCTCTTTTAAAGGTATGAACGTAGTATGATATCTAGAATTTCAGTATGCTTGTTTATTATAATATAAGTTACACAAGAATGTTCATAAAAGTTTGAATGTCACACTATAGTTACATAGTTCATATGGGAGGCCTACAGACTAGGATCGGGCTGGTGTTTCACAGCAACATGGAAACTTCATATTTCCTCACCTGTGTACCTTCTCCACATTTTACCCTCTTGCTTCCACTTTTCCTGCCCTACTCCCTTTTTCAAGTTCCTTTGAATGGTTTTCCCTTACTTTCTTAGGTCTGTGATATTTTTACTCCATCCTTACTAAGGGTGACAAAATCTTCTTCAGTGCTTTATCTCTATGCTACATCTATAGCAGCTCATTCATGTGTTATGGGTAATCCTTCCACGCAACGTTTTAGTTGATTATAACATAGATTTATATAAATCTAATTATGTACATTTGTTTAGATTTGGATGAATAACTAAAATAGCTATAGCTTTGAGAGTATCTGCTGTGGTGCCTGACGAAAATCACAGCGCTAGAGTTGTGATTCATTTCCCACATAGTTGGAGGGTCTTCCTTCTGTATATTTTTAAAGTAGCAGGTAAATAAAAAGAAAAATTATAATTGTCTCCTTAAATGGGCAAATACATAGACAATATGGCTTGCATTCTTTTCTGCCAGTCAAAACTATGGGTTTTATGAGAACATAATGAAATAGCATAAATTATTTTAATAATAGTGTAAAATATTATGTCTAGCAACATCTAGGAGCAAAACTCTGGAAATCAGAATGCAAATGTGGTCAACTCGATAGAATTTAATACTTTCCAATGTTTTTCTCTGCAGTTCTTGGCTTTACAAGACCTGATGTTTCTCTCCCAGTATTCCCCTATGCGCCGTCAAGAGGTCTTCAGCCTTAGCCAACCAGGTATTTAGAACACAACCAGCCCTTTGTTAAATGGGGTTGCAGGGTACATCAAATGAGAATCTAATTACAAATGATGACTGGGTGACCTGGAGGTCTCTCATTCGTGGAGTTACCATAAGTCAGATTGACTCACCGTCGGCTAACCACAACAACAAGCTTTTGATTCTATTGTTGCTGCTTTTGTAGCCCAGTGATTTGGCCACAGTCGCAGATTTACTAAAGTGGGGATGTTATTTTGGCTTGATCTGAGTACTTTGCACACTGTTCTCACAAACATCATAGCCCTGCAGAATTGAGGGCCATAAAACCTTTTTTTTTAAAGTGTATGCTGAATATATAGGAATTTGGCTTTCTAAATCCAAAAATGATCTCAATTTGTTTCATCATATACTGTTTTCACACATAATTCTTTTATATTTTTATGTTGCAGTTTGTGATTGAATGAAATTAGTAGTAAAATTAGTAGTGAAATTTGTGAAAGATCTGTGCAAGATCTATTTATTTTGTTTTTCAAATTTATCGCCATTGATTGTAAGACACACAGAAAAAACTACATTATGAATTGCTACTATATGAAGAACATGAGACAATATAAGAAGCAACAAGATACAATTACTAGACTTAAAATTAGATTTGTTACTATCTTCAATCTTATGTAATGTGTGTTAATGGAATAGAGATGAAGATTTAGATATAACAGAGATAATATTGTATAAGAACCCCCCACACCCCAACAAGTCTTACCTTTTTGTTCTTTTTTTTGCGACATATTAGACATTTGTAAAGGCGTAACTAACTCTACTATCCCCATATCCATTTTTTTCTCTTTCCCTCACCTCCAATTCCATTAGTGTGATTTTTTTTAAAAAAATTGTATTTGGAAATGCTTAATACAAATTATTTGCCAGCATTATTGTGCGCATTAAATTAGAAGATTATACTTGCATTTTCCCTCTACCTTGTTGCGGAATAATACCATTAAAAAGAAACAACTACAGTACTGTATTCTTTCAATTCTAAGACTCACTTTTCCTATATAAACATCTCTAAAAATGAGGTGTGTCTTCGAATCGCAGATGTGTCTTATGTATTTATTGTTGGTGGTGATGGTACTGACATTAGGGTGCATCTTACAATCAATGGTATCTTACAACTAAAGACATACGGATTATATGTAGGTGTTTTAGAAGCCTATTCTCTGCTTTGCAGTAGTTTATTTCAGTTGCCAATCTTTGCTTGGTGCCTACTATCACATGCATTCTCCTTGTTTCTTACAGGTGGACATCCTCACAACTGGACTTCCATTTCCAGGGACTGCTTGACCCTCCTTAATAATCTCACACAGAAACTAATAGTTCATCAAGAAGCTGCAGCTGCTAATGGGAGTCTGAAACAGCCGCCTGTGGGAGACTTAAGACAACCTCCTACTTCTCCAGGTATTGGACAGGTTAATTACGGTATATTTCATGGTTTACAGGCAATCCCTGAGTTAAATACATCCAATGCTGGATTTAGGACAAATGAGACCCTGTGCTAATTAAGTGATGAAGGAGGTTGGCCTGGTAGGCCTACACTGCCTGCTTTGTGACACATTCCCATAGATTAACAACTCTATCATTATGTCTGTAATCACTCTGAAACAGAACACCTTCAAATTTAGAATTGCCCCACATAAGCAAAATCCATCGTAAAAATACTTTTTTGCCAGGAAGACCTCCCTATCCCCACCTCGGGTCAACAGCGATCTGTGCTAAAGCATACCTAAGCACAATGGTTAATACAGCACTGCAAACATGGAAACTGTATTGTTCATAATTCTGGGGACTGCCTGTATTGAAACATTACCAAAGGCAAAATACAACATTTTCACTTGTATTTGGAAGTTTGTGTATAATAAAAGCTAAGATTCTGATGAATGTTTGTTGGAATTCCTTATATTGAAATGGTGTTTTTCTTTGGTTTTCCAATAGTGGACCCTTGGTAAATGTATAGTAGATTTGGACTGGGGAATTCTAGGTATGTCTCTATAGTCTTTCTCCATTCTAGACTTATGGAAACATATCTGCTCCTTGTACTTGATTGGTCTTTTCCTTATTGTACATTATCTGTGGCTAGCATTATTACAGTATCTCTAAGGGACAGGCTACCTAGGACCTTTCTACACAGCTGTATCAAATCCACATAATCTTCTTTGAACTGGATTACATGGCAGTGTAGGCTCAGATAATTCAGTTCAAATCAGATAATATGGATTTTCTGCTTTGATAACCTTAATTATCTGGCAGTGCAGAAGGGGCCTTAGATTTTTATCCTCATGCAAATAATAATAATAGTCATCATCATCATCATCATCATCTTTATTTATACCCTGCCAGCATCTCCCCAATCGGGACTCGGGGCGGCTTACATGAGGCAAAGCCCAACAACACAATACAATAAAGGAAATTAAATCATACACAATAACAAGATAAATTACATAAAACATAAAAATACAGCAAACAATATAAAACTGAAATAAATCATAACACAGTGAATGTGATAATGACAGTGAGCGGGCCGCATGTACAGAGTAAAATACTAAAGCTAAAAACTAAAATCACGGGGTGAGATAGGGATGGAGCAGATTATTTGTGAAGGAGAAACTCTTCAGACGTGAGGTCAAGAAAAGTCTTCGTACAGGAGAGGAGGAGGTATACTCTAAGGGCAAATTTTGAGGCATAGCAACAATATCAGATTGCATGGTTAATCACCAAAAGTTTAGGTGTATGAAATACTCTAAAGATACTAGGTTTTATTAACACTATTGTAAGAGTATGTCAAGTCTGATAATAGTTGAAATGGCATGTTTAGGAAATATATGACTATGTGGCTTTGGAAAAAGCTTACTAATCTTACTCTTACAATCTTTTTCCTTGGTAGCATCAGCAGTCCAAGAGAACTTGTTCCAGACCCCAAGGTCCAACCTACTTCCTCGAGCCCATATGCCTTCTCTGGTTAAATCATCTTTGTTGCCTTTTAAAACATCACCTGTGTCTGATCTGGGAAGTAATGTAGGGTCACCTTTTAGTCCTTTTCCTCACAAATCTGGATTAGTAGAGTTAAGCTCTCCTTGGCATGGATCAATCCAAAGCCCCCACATTATGAGAAGAGGACCAAAATTATGGACATCAAGTTCAGGTAGTAGAAATTCTTTTGTTTCAACACTGTTCGTAATTTATTTGCTGCATGTATGTTCCCATAAGCTTAAGGCAGTGTGCAACAATAGCCATGTGAATGGGGTTGGGCTCAGAACGGGTTCATGGCTCAAAAGGGATTTTAACTGTAATTGCTAATGTGAGACAGATTGGGCTATTATGTTTATTTTAATGAATATGGACATTTATCCATGACTAAGAGAAGTTGGTCCTCTATATTGTGTTTATAAGTAATAAACCTGTCATATGACATCATATTTGAATTTTCAACAGCAATAACATAATACTTTGTGTATCTTAATAGATACCTGTGTTCTATATAATGTCTAAGTCTAACATACTCTCCTGGTGCTCTCAGCTCTTTTATTTTAGTGGATTATCAGGACATTTATTTAGGGGTTTTTTTTTTTTAATGAACTGGATTTTTTTCTTGTAGATATGCCATGGACCGGCTCTCCATATGAAACCCACCCAATAATTCCTGTTGCAAAAAGTGCTAATGAAGTGGTGCCACCAAATCATTTCTATATATGGTTACAGAGCAAGTCAGAGCAGGTATAAACCAAGTGATTCATTACTCAACAATTGTTTGTTTCTCATCTTGGAATGCCCTTTAAAACATGATGGACTTTACCATAATTCCAATTAAATTGTTTTTGAACTGGTGTGACAGTCAGTGTAGCCAAAAGATTTAGTTTCTTTTGGTCAAAACTTTTAATGAAACACATACTGTTCTGATGTGTCAGATACATTCTTTGCTTCTTTATCTTTTTTTCAGCTCAAAAGTTTCTTGGCAAAACGAGCAATGGTTACGTATTTTATCAAAAAGGTAAGGATGAGTGTATGATTATATAGTTAACATTATCTGGAAATAAGTTATTTTTACTGTCTTACTGTTAAATAGAATAATAAAGCTGGAAGAGACCGCAAGGGTCATGCAATCTAATTGCTCCTGAAGCTGGCTGCCAGTTTGTTTCTGTGCACAATTCAAAGTGCTGGCTTTAGCCTATAAAGCCCTAAATGGTTTTGGCCCAGCCTACTTGAGGGGCCGTATCTCCTCCTACCAGCCCATTTGTACCTTGAATTCATCAGGAAAGGCCCATCTCTTGGTCCCACCACCGTCACAAGCACGCTTCATGGGAACAGTAGAGAGAGGGCCTTCTCGGTGGTGGCCCTGCGGATCTGAAACACCCTTCCTAGAAAGGTGTGATTGGCTCTCTCCTTGCTGGCTTTTCGATCTCAAATTAAAACCTTCCTGTGGAGCCAGGCCTTCCCAGATGGTTTATAATAGGTAACTACCAATTAGCGGCCGGTAACATCTACCTCTTTAAATGCTAATCATACGTGGCAATGTGACATAGCCCAATGAAAGTTGAGCCTTTTAGGATCTTGGATATAACCTTGTTTTATGAATTACCTCAGTGGTCTGAGGTTAGGGCATTTTTAATGTATATGTTGTAAGTTATTCATGTATTTTTTATCATTTAGGTAATTGAGTATTTGTGTTAGTTGTTTTACTTTGTCTTGCTGAATGTGTATTTTATGTCAGTTTTGAGTCCCACCTGTGGGAGAAAAGTAGAATAAAAATGAATTAATAATAATAATAATAATAAACCCCCTGCCATGCAGGAAAAGCATAATCAAAGCACCCCTGACAGATGGCCATCCAGCTTCTGTTTAAAAGCCTCAAAGGAAGGAACTTTTGCCACACTCTGAGGAGGCAGCATATTCCACTACCAAAAAGCTCTTACCATCAGGCAGTTCTTCCCAATGTTTAGGTGAAATCTCTTTTTCTTTGGTTTGAATCTAGGCTTCTTGTACTAGTTTCCAGAGCAGCAGAAAACAAGCCTGTTTCCTCTTCTTTATGATATCCTTTCAGATATTTAAACATGCCTATCAGGTCTCTTCTGAGCCCTTCCCCCCCCCCCCCCCCCCCCCAGCTGTGTTGCATATATTCATTATAACTGTTCAACTAGAACACATTGAAGCAAGTGCTTTGTTATGTGACTTCAAGTCATTTCTGACTTAGGGCGACTCTAAGGGGAAATCCTGTTCAAAAGACAGGATTGTCATTGCTTTCCTCTGAGACAGGGTGATTCACCCAAAGCCACCCAGTGTATTTCAAATTGAAGATTTTGTTTCAAAATATTGCTCTCCATCGTTGTTCTGTTTAATTTGACTAAGCATTTTGCAAGGAAGTCATGGGATGTTTCTTCTGTCAGGAGGAGAGTGGGTTAAAACATTAAGCATTGAAATTATTATCAGAATTAATTTCACACAGAGTTCTTATGACTGAATGCTTTTACAGCTAGCATGATTAAGGTAGTGCTTGAAACATCATGTTGATCTGGTTGACGAACCTACAGAACACTTTGCTCTCTCTTAGGACCCGGAGGCCTCAATCCAGGATCTCTTTTCTGATACCCAAATGCACATTTGGGCTTTGGAAGGTAAGCACTCTGTTCATATCTGAAATAGCCTGCAAATAAATGATTTCTGGTGGCCTGTTTGTGTTTAGGACTTTGAGTTCTGTAGTGATAAGCAATACATTTCATTTGTGAACATCCCATTGCAGAATCTCCATAATAGTTCTATACTTCACTTTCATCCCATGCCCTGTTCCTTAGTTACAATTTGCACTATCCCATTCCCTTGTCTTGTTTACAGTTTGGCCATGTCTTATGGTAGTTGTCACCATAGGTCACTGGATGATTTTCTGAGTTTTAAACTGTTGTTTTTATATGCTATAGTTTTTTAACTTTATTGTATTGTACTATGTGTTTATTTTATGCTTTGTCTTGGCATGTGTGCCATATATAAGCCACCCTGAGTCCTTTCGGCGGGGTACAAAATAATAATAATAATAGTAATTATTATTATTATTATTATTATTACTATATCAATAGACTTGAGGGTATAGTTGAATTATCTCAATTTAGTTGTTCTGTTCTTTGCTACTCTTTGAAGGGCAACCTAAATCAATCTGAAGATTTTGGTCTAGTAGATAATATCTAGAACTTTCATCTTTTGTTTCTATTCTCAAAGCTTGATACCTTACAGGTGGCAATATCTAATTTCTAGGTGATTCTGATGGACAGGAGTTAAGAGCACTAAATTTTTTGGTCTAAATTCAGAACTCTAACAGAGATGTAGCATAATGCTTGTCTAAATGGCAACACATGAGAATTAAAATGTATTCATTTCTCTGAAGGTTTATCACATCTTGTAGCAGCCTCATTTACTGAAGATAGATATGGAGTTGTCCAAACAACACTGCCAACTATTCTGAATACATTACTAACTCTTCAGGAGGTATGGGATCTTAATTTCTTCTGTGGGAAACTGTGATAGGAACTCTTGACAGTGACTTCACTGGAACTAACCAGTAAAGAAAGATCTGTGTTACAAACTTCAGCATATTGAGATCTACAACCAGTTACTTCCAACAGCATATTTCAGGGCAGGTATATTTATTTATTTATTTATTTATTTACTATATTTATACCCTGCTGTTCTCAACCCCGTAGAGGACTCAAGGCAGCTTACATATATAGGCAGCAATTTGATGCCATGCAGACATACATACATACATATAAATAAAAATGTAATGTTCATTTGTGGGATTAACATAACTCAAAAACCACTGGGCGAATTGACACCAAATTTGGACACAATACATCAATCAGGCCAATGAGTGACCATCACTCATAAAGACACTGAAAAACACAGCAGAAGAGACTTAAAAAGCCAAAAAACAAAAACTACATTACAATGTATGCGCAAAACCACACATATACACAAACACATATTTGTGTATATACACATATACATAAATATATATACACACACATATACACATATATCCATACACAAAACACATATACACAGACTGGGCCACAGCAACGCCTGTCAGGGAACAGCTAGTAGTAAAATAAACATATACATTAAAACAATAATTAAAACCACTTTTTAAATGTTATTCAACAAATGCTATCAAAATTTATTTTGACATCTTGCAACCAAAATTACATTGAGACTAGGAGTGCATCTACAATGTAGAATTAACACTTTAATTGCCATGGCTTAATGCTAAGGAATCATGGGAGTTGTCATTTGATGAGGCATCAGCAAAATCTGGCTAAAGACAGCTTAGAGCTCCAACTTCCACGTTTCCATATCATTGAGCCATAGCAGTTAAAGTGGTGACAAACTGCATTAATGCAGCCTAAGCCCCTGATCTCATCTGGTTTCATAAGTGAATTATAGACAGTCATTATTAGTACTTGAGTGGCAGATCACCGGAACATATCAGGGATCTCTAGGTAGGACTAGGAAATGATTCCACCTGATGGACCAGAGTGTTGTATCAGGCAGCTTTGTTTTCTCTTGACTATTAAATACTAGTTTTCTCTTCAGAATTTCCTCGATTCAATCTCCAACTCTGTATTGGAGAAGAACAGAGAAACTCTTGCACTGAAATAAATAAATCAGTCTCAGATAATCTTGAGAATATTATCCAAGGCACAAAGTTTAGTCCTGTTTGCCAGATGGATTCTCACAGTGTCTCACCAGGCCAATATTTGGGTTGGAAGTTTAACTGCAACCATCAGTTGTTATAACCTTGATCTTTCCAGATATGATTGATATCACAAAGCTTGATCTCCTAAATCTGTTTCAGCCGTTCTGTATGACCTGTTCTGATTCATCCGGATGAAATGTAAACCTCTGAGCTGCCAGCATGTCCTCTTATTGATTCATTTTGCATCCTAGGTGGTAGACAAGCACTTCAAACTTCCTCATGTTTCCAGCAAACCCCCCAGGACTTCAGGGAATCTGGCAGACACTTCCTATAAAACCCTTCGGTTTGCCTTAAGAGCCTCATTGAAAACTGCCATATATCGGATAACCACCACATTTGGAGAACACTTAAAGTAAGATGTTGAGGAACAAATGCACCATAATGTTCACTTGGGTCTATATGGTTACAAACAATCTATACCAGATTTCATGCATTAGTAGTAGTAATAATTACTATATATGTATAGTCCACCATTTCCCTAAATAAGGGTTCAAGGCAGCTTGCAGTTAAAATTAATGCAATACAATTAAAAATATGCAAAAGAATGACATTAAAATAGAATGAAAATGAAGGTCTTCTCACCAGTGAATGCAAAGTTTCTAAAAACTCCATGCTGTATTTTTAAGGTTCTACGCAGTGGCTCCCAACTTTTTTTTTTTATCGGGGACACTTTGGACAGGGATCACTCTCCAACATTAGTACCAGAACGGTTACAAATCAGTTTTCAATCAACTTTAGATTTGGTTTGGTTGGGATGCTGATTCAGAAAACTAGATTGGATAAAACACATTAGTTTCCGATATAGAACATATGCCCTCCGGTAGTCGCCATCTGCTCGCCCACAGAAAACCATATTTAATAAGCCTCAGCACTATAAGAGGGTTTCTCAAGACTTGTCACTCTCATTGCAACGATGTAGTAACAGTGAGGCCGCAGACCATATTTTAGTTCTTGCAGACCACTAGTGATCCATGGACCACAGGTTGGGGACCACTGCTACACAGAAGTGTAAAAAATCCACTGTTCAGAATTTTGTATACCATTGTGCATTATTATGAATTTTGTATACCATTGTGCATTATTATGAACAGCTGGGAGTCTAATTGCACATTTAAGGGTGGTTTCAAGAGCTGCGTGATGATAATTCAAAGGCTTGTCACTCAGTAGTCTTGACTTGTTATAAATGTTGAGCTCAAGGTATCATTAGTATTTTTTCATAAATTTTGAGTTCAAAATAGTATTAGTCTTTTGACTTGTCATAAATGCTGAGTTCACTACTAATTTATTAGTAGTAGTATTTTGTCATAAATGTTGAGCTCATGATATTACTAGTATTAGCCTTTTATCTTGTCATAAATGTTGAGATCATTGTTATTATTAGTCTTTTATCTTGTCATACATTTTGAGCTCACAGTTATTATTACTACCTTTATTTCTATCCCGCCTTTCTCCTCATGAGAGATAACAATAACATGACATAACCCACTGAAATTTAAATACAAGACCAATAACAAATAACAATTCAATATTTCTGTCATGACTACAAAGTTAAAATATAGTTAAAACACAATAGAAATATATTTAAAATTTCATTTAAAAGCTAAACATCTAGGCTGCCATCCCATCTACAACCTGCTCAGCACTGGAAAGCTTCTAAGGGTGTCTCCTCAAACATGGCTAGAATATCCCTTTGGTCCTTCACATTCATCTTGGGAAGATGAGGGCAGAAGGAGCTTTGAGGCAGGGGGTAGCATGCACATCCCTAAACAGTTTGTGCTCTTGGATGTCATGGTGGGGTTGGGGTAAACAGATTTGATTTGGCTTGTCAGTTCATGCAGTGCTTTTCAGCCAGGTCATGTGGACTTTTACACGTTTCAGAAAATAAATTCCTTTTCTAACTTGAATAGCATGTTTCTGGAATGAGTACTGCAGTTTTTTTAAAATGTTGTATTCTTTTTTCTAGTGCTGTGCAAGTATCTTCAGAACATAAGAAAAGACTCCAGCAGTTCCTTGAGTTCAAGGAGTAGAAAGTCAAATTTTCTGGGCTGGTAGAGATGGATAGACCAGCAGCTGTGCATCAAAATATAAGTGACACTAATATGACTTTTTCCTACTGGCTTTTTGAAAGTGTTCATTGCAAGTCATAAGGTGACTATGCTGTCAGCTGAGCTACCTGAAAAACTTGATTTCTTTGGTTTGACATTTTGTATAATAAACTTTTTTTTAAAAGGCAAATGCTCTTTGGAGTGGTTGAATGGTGTTACTATTTATGTATGGAATTGCTCAGGTTTGTGGGAGTGGTGTTTTTAACATGCTTCTTGAAGCTCTGCTGCCGCTACATGATTCACTTTCTGCTGGTAATTGCTCTATAAACATGAGCTCATTCACATCTGACATCCACCTGATCGCCATTTGCTTCTTTAGACACAGATCACAGAGTTGAGGGCCAAATAGAGTTAACATTGGCCTCAAAGTTCTACATTATTACTCTGTTGAGCCAAAAAATGTCATAACTTCAGCACGCATGTGTTTTGATGAGTACTGAAGTGAAAAACTAGCTATAAAAACCCTCTTCTTGCAAGCATAAAATGTGTGTTGCCTTAATGTGTTACAATATTGGACAGGAGATGTGCATACACATTTGGTCTCTTAAACCAATGTATTCTATATAGAGTGACCTCGGGCATCATCAAAACTGATAGCTCAGCCCAAACATCTTGGAATCTTGATCTTTAGACCTGTTCCTGGGAATATTTGGGCATTGATTGAGTAGACCACTTCTACACTACTTTCTTAGATATGGTTATAGTGCATTTCTATGGGCAAGCAGATGGTGACTGGCAGATGGAATATGTTCTCTATCTCAAAACGAGAGCTGATAGAAGAAAATTGGTGCCATTTTTGGAATTGGCATATCAAATATACCCAGAGACAGGGCTATTAATTGAGGCACAAAATTCAGCGGGGAGATCTAAGTAGGTAATCTCTGAATTAAGTTTCATTTCTTGCCTTTCCTTACGGCTCCTTGTGGCACAACATAGTTAAGATACATCTGAGAGGAGACATGATAGCCATATATAAATATGTGAGGGGAAGTCATAGGGAGGAGGGAGCAGGCTTGTTTTCAGCTGTCCTGGAGACTAGGACACGGAGCAATGTCTTCAAACTACAGGAAAGGAGATTCCACCTGAACATTAGGTAGAACTTCCTAACTGTGAGAGCTGTTCAACCGTGGAACTTTCTGCTCCGGTGTGTGGTGGAGGCTCCCTCTTTGGAGGCTTTTAAACAGGCTGGATGGCCATCTGTCGGGGATGCTTTGAATGAGATTTTCCTGCTTCTTGGCAAGGGGTTGGACTGGATGGCTCACGAGGTCTCATCCAACTCTAGGATTCTATGATCACAATAATAAAATGCATTCCATAAAAATACAAATTAAAACATACTACTACATAAGAGAAAATCCCCCCAGATTTTCTCTCCTTGAAACCATGGCATCCTGTTTACTCACCCACCACGTTCATCCATTTGTTGAAGTGATGCCAGGTAATGTAGAAAGGTTTTTAAAAAGCCAGAACATGATACACAACCAGCTTCTCTTTCTGTTTGTCCTTTAAGGCTGGAACAACTCCCAGCTATCCTCAGTGATGAATCTTCCCATCTTTAAAATGCTTTCAAACATTGGCATCTAGTTACAGTCAACCTTCCACACTTGTGAGTTTAACTTTTGCAGAATTGAATATTTCCAAAGTTTGTTAATATGACTCCAGGAATCTCTATGTCCCCCAGGATGACTATATGACCAACTTCTTCCAGATAATAAAATTATTATTTTTTGTCTGCAATTTCCCACTTTCCTGGAAGTTCTGCATCTTAACCCCAGTGAAAGTGGACAAAACTGAATGCTCAATATTGCCACATATAGACAAATAAAATGGCCTTGACATTTGCTCAGAGTCTGTGGTACTAGAGAAGGCCAGGCTCACATTGTTATCCATTATCCATCAACGTCAGATAATACCGCTTTTGCATGACTTGAATTTTGAATGGTACAAATGCTCATCAGGAACTGTAAATTCTTTAACTACATTTTTTAAAGCCCCATATCTGAAGGCCAATGTCCTGCAGACAGCATGCGATTCAGTGTCAGTTTTTACCATTGCAGATGTATGAGTGGCCAAAGCACCAGACTCATAGTGGGGGAAACAGAATATTCTGAAGGTGACCTTAAAGAGTTCTTGGACTCCTTCCATTTTTTGTTGGCAGTGCAAATCATTTGGCCAAGGGTTGGATAAGCTTTTTAAAATGAGCTAAATAAACATTATCTCAGCCGTCCCTTCCTGGAAGATTTGCTTTTAGCACTGATACAGAAAACGAGAGCCTTTAAGCTGTGTCAGCACTGCTTTTCCTAACACGATCATGGCTCTGTCCTAAGAAATCCTGGGATTTATAGTTTAATGAAGCATATATCATGGGAAGGTTAGAAAACAAGGATGGGGGATAAAATCAGTTTAATTTTGTTGTGTAGACAAGCACTCAATACCACCGACGCAAGCAAATAATTGTTTATCTCAGTAAACGTGATCCTAAGATTCTTTAGAATGGAGCCTTGACGTGAATATGATAACTACAGAAACACTTTACTGGGGTTTCCTCATGAGAATACTTTGCTCAAGTCAATAGTGTAGTTTTGCCAACAATTCTTTTTGTAGTCCTGAACGAAAAGAACCACCAGAAGGAATGCTCAGGAAGAGCAACCTACAAATATCTGTGTGCTCCTCAGAAGAAGTGGGATGGAGGAAACATAGGGCCCTTTCACAGAGCTCCATATCCCAGAATATCAAGGAATAATATCCCACAATATCTACTTTGAACTGGCTTATCAGAGTCCACACTCAGATAATGTGGATTTTCTGCCTTGATATTCTGGGATGTAGGGCTGTGTGGAAGGGTCCTCAGAAGGCTGACCATGGTTTAGTTTTCAAGCAGCAAGGTCAATGAAATAGCAGCCCTGAGATGCTGAATCTCCTCTTTTGAAGTTCTTTTCAGTGTCAAACAAAAATGCATCCATTCATCACTTACAACTTCCTCTTGTCCTGGGTTCTGATGGGGAAAGGCTACAGGCAACAATGGTAGAGAGCTAGGTTACTCTAGCTCAATATGCAATGGGATTTTGTAGGACCTTTGAAACTAACTTGGGTAGCATAAAGTTTTATAGACTTAGGATTACATCATCATATGTCTGAAATTTTAATATTATTATACCACTTTTTTCTCTCTTAAAGAGTCTCAAGTAGTGTCAATTGCCAAGGAAGATCTGTTCTTGGGTACTTCATTCCATGCTTCTTATGAAGTTCACTTAAGTCTGCAAAGGCTCACATTTACCAACTTCTTCTTTTCAGTCTCAACATCACTTTGCATACATACTAAGTTTATTCAACTATATGTTCATTCATTCAAAACCTTATCAAATAGACATTGCTTAAGAAAGCTTGAATGCCTCACCGGCTGGAGAAACATCTCTAAACGCCATGTGTCTTTTCCAAGTGTAAACTACTGAGTGATATCTATCTATCTATCTATCTATCTATCTATCTATCTATCTATTAGGGCTGGGCGGTTTCGTTCGTTAATTTCGTAATTCGTTATTAATTCATTTTTTTTTTATAACGAAGCGATATTGAACCATTCAGGAGCGATGAGGAGATGGAAGTCAATTCTTTTTTTAAAATTTTAATTTTTACTTTTTAATTCCTATTTTTTTTTTACTTTTTATTTTTTACTTTTTAATATTTTTGACTCTTTTTTTCTTTTTGAACTTTGGGGAGGGGTGGTGTTCTTGACAATACAACTTACTGTTTTTTGTTTTGTTTTTTTTATCAGAATATGAACAATGAGTACCATCCTAACAACATGAAATGTTGTGAGAACAGTGTAAGCTGTGTGTGTAATTAGAGATCTGGATACATTTTTGGGAGTTTTTTTTTTACAATGCAAGGAGGAGGGAAGTATTTATAATGCAGTATTGCGCAATCGCGTCCGCCATTAACGAATCGATTCTTTATTGTTTCGAAATTGTTTCGTAATTTCCGAAATTTCGTAAATATCGAACTTTTTAAAAGAAAAATTTCGGAATTCTTTTAAAAAACGAAACGTAAAAAACCCCTAAAAACGAATCGAGTTTAGAAACAAATTTTTCCGTGGTTACCCAGCCCTACTGGGGACCAAAAAATAAAAATCAGAATAAAAACCTTCATCTAAGAGGCAGGGCTATAACAGAGCAGCCACAGGTTTTGTAAAAAGATATCTAAACCTTCCCAATAATGCAAACTGTATCACTGTAGTTTTGCTCTTAGGGCCAATGGTTGATGTGTTGGTTTTGATACTTTTACTTGAATTAGCAAGCCTATTCCTCTAATTTGCAAACTAAACAAGTAGTTCTTCAGATGCAATACAGAATGGTTATGCAGACCTTATTATATAAAAAAGCATATTTATCTGAAGGAACCCATGCAATTTTTCTTATTTCTGAAAGTATTTGTTCTTGGAGCCCCCGGTGGCACAGTGGGTTAAACTACTGAGCTGCTAAACTTGTTGACAAAAAGGTCACAGGTTCGAATTCGGGGAACAGTATGAGCTTCCGCTGTCAGCCCCAGCTTCTGCCAACCTAGCAGTTCAAAAACATGCAAATATGACAGATCAATAGGTACCGCTCTGGTGGGAAGGTAACAGGGTTCCATGCAATCATGCTGGCCACATGAACTTGGAGATGTCTATGGATAACGCCGGCCATTCGGCTTAGAAATTGAGATGGACATGACTGGACTTAGTGTCAGGGGAAAACCTTTACCTTTACCTATTTGTTCTCAATATGACTTTCCTTTTTAGAGTACAGCCCTACACTAGGAGATAGGATAGACTAGGCATGGGCAAACTTTGGCCCTCCAGGTGTTTTGGGCTTCAACTCCTGCTTAAGCGGCTGAGGGGGAAAAGGAAAGGGCTTGAGACTATTAGGGATTGTGGGAGTTGAAGTCCAATACATCTGGAGGGCCAAAGTTTGCCCATGCCTAGGATAGACTCTGGAAACTTGGCTACTTAACTGGGATGCATTTTTTAAAAATCAGGCTGCACCAAGAGGAACATAATAGGCAAACACAAAATTATCCATTTCATTTCTAACAATTTATTCCTTCAAAATGCTTTTTCTAGGTTCAAAAAAAAATATATATTCTATCTTT